GAGAGGGGAAAGTAGCTAAAAAGAAAAGTGGGATGTAAAAATGTTTAAAAATTACTTTTTGGTTAAGAGGGAGAAACCTGCAGATATTGGCACGCTGACAGGAAATCCAAGAATGGGGGTAGAGGTGGTGGAGCATTGGTTTTCAGTCTGCTGTGAGTTTGGCTAATTTGAATCAGGTTCTCTAACTTTGGACTTCCACTGAAAAATTGAGCCTATAAGCTGGTGATGTTGCCAAAGCACAGTCACCCCAATGGGGGCACATAGGGATGGTCCGCATCTTTACTTTGTCTAGCTTTAACTGCAGACATAGCCACAGACTCATCAATGGGTGACTGTTCTGCTATAAAAAGTCTCCAAATCTGAACACTAACATCACAGCTAAACTGTTAGTTTCACTTGTAATCTAAGACATACAAGTGTAAATACCAGGAGGTACCATACACCCAGTATCAAAGATTTAAAACCATGAGAATTCCCTGCTGGTGAAAAGACAATTTGGTGCAATTCTTTTGGAAAATAATGGTGCATGTTTCAATAACCTTAAAACATTTTCATATCACTTGTCTCAGTAATTCCATTTCCAAGACTCTGGATACAGAAACAAGCTAAAGTGCAAAGATGCTCATTGCAGCATTGTTTACAAAAAGGAAAAACTGGGAACAGTTTGAGTAGCCTTGAGTAAAGACATGTCCACACAAACACTAATAATTCCTCTTGATGGGGGCACCTGGGTGGCTCAGTCGTTAAGCGTCTGCCTTCGGCTCATGTCATGATCCCAGGGTCCTGGGATCAAGTCCTGCATCGGGCTCCCTGCTCTGCGGGAAGCCTGCTTCTCCCTCTCCCACTCCCCCTGCTTGTGTTCCCTCTCTCACTGTCTCTCTCTGTCAAATAAATAAATAAAATCTTAAAAAAAATAAATCCTCTTGATGGAAAATAACTTAGTGGTTTCAAATACTACTTACAAAGACAATTTTTGATACTTGATATACATATGGTGTTAAGTGAGAAAAGCAGAATAACAATTCTACTGTATGTACACAACATACATAAGCCAACAGTATAAAAAAGACTGAGAGTATCTTCCCTCGCAGTGATTATGTTTGCTTGGTTGGGTCTTTGATAATGAAAAAGAGACTGGACAGGAAAAGATCTCTATAGCTCTTCACTGATTAGCAATGGCTGACATTACAATGAATGTCATTTTTTTCCCCCGTTCACTTTTTCATACCGTTCTTTGGCATTTTGGTAGTGCATAAATTATCCATAAAGAAATGCAGGTGTTCTACTGAAAATGCATCAAATGAAAACTCTAGATAACACACTAGGAAAGCGTCTTTAGAATGTTTTTATTATGCTTGACACCATTTTTCTCTATAAAACAATACACACTCATTTGGAAAATGTAGAAAAATTGTAAATCAGAGAACTATGAAGAAGCAAAGAAAAATTTCATTTAATCCTTCTATTTAGATAATAAATGTTGATATTTTACTTTATAAAGGAAACAGCTTTTGGTGGGAGAAACTGCTATGTTCATCTAAACAAATTGCATATAACTGTGACATAAAGCTCTTACGCTACGTTTTACCCCTCAACAAAGCCAAATCATCCACAAACAGCGTAGGTTTAAGGATGATCAACAATGTGGAGCTTAGTCTAGGTGGGTCTGGGTGGGGTTCTGCAGTGGACCTGCCCTCATTAACCTTACTAATCAGAGAAGCCAACTTCTGTAGCCACTGCTCTTGTGTAGATCAGAGACATGCTATAAGCAAAACACAGCTACAATTCATCAATAAGTCTGGATGTGGTACCAGAGGACCAGCTGGGCTGATCCCAACACTCTTCCCTGTTACTTGAGGATAGGACCAGCCTCTTGTAAACCTCAAAAATTAAACCAGGAAGGTTATCGAGCAGTAGATGAGTTTATTCTGGCACAGTGAGGAATTGCAATTCGGGACAAGCGAACTATGGCAAACCATGGGCAAGTACAGAGAACAAGGGAGAGGGACTTGCTTTCATAGAGGAAAGGAGGGAATTGGGAGGGGTGTTTCTGAATGACAGTTCACTGGAGGAAATAAAAAAAAGTTCATTAGAAGAGAGTGAGAGTTTGGGGCTGTGGTGTCTTCTCATTGGCTAGGTTTGTTGCTGGGCAGGGAGAAAATCTTACTTCCTCCTGCCACCGTATGGAAAGTAAGTGTCTTCCTGATGGGGCATATAAAGTAAAAAATGGTATGAGTGGTACCTGTATAAGAGCTCCCCCTTCCAGTTTTCCTGACCCCATTTTGAATGAAGTTTTCCTTTACTCATTTTCACTGTCTATACTCCCCTTAATCTTCAGCAAACTGCTGGCCATAGAATATAGCAGGTGCTCAATAAACATTTATGGAAGTAAACTAAAGGCTTGGGCTCAAATTCTTACCCTATGACTTATCAGCTAGATGCTCCTATCCATTTCTTTGGTTTAACCCCTGTCTTTGAGCTCATCAGTTTCAAATTTCAGTTATTAACTTTGTCTTCTCTCCAAAACTCCAGACCCAGCTAATTACCTGCCTCCTGCACTTTTCCACTTGGATGTTCCATAAGTGGCTCAAAACCTATATCATCTGTATCAGTACCTCAGTGAGATACTAAATGTCTCTTTCCGCTCCTTTGTTCTTCTCTTCCGTCTTCCATTTATATGCTCATAAAATCCTGCTGGATTCTAGTTCAAAAATCTCCCAAATTCATCCTGTTATCTCTGTCCCCACAGCTGCTGTGTGAATTAGTTCAGACTCTCATTATATCTTACGTGCATTGTTACATCAGTCTCCTACCTAGTCTCTTTGCCTCCAATCTTCCTGTTTTAAAACATCTTCTACGTGACCATAACCAAAGGTGTCTGTCCAGGCTCAGGCATAATTATATCATATCCTTCCTTCAAAACATTCAAGAATGTTCAAGAATCTAAATTCTTAGTCAACTCAGAGAGCCTATCACAATCTGGCTCCAACTTCCCTTTCTGGCCTCATCTCTTATAAAACTCACCCCTCTCACCCTAAATAGGCCTCGTCTGTTTTAGCCATACAGAATTCCCATTCTTCCCCCAATAGACCATACTTTCTCCCTTTGCATAGATTAATCCAGGATCTTCTCTCCCAACTTCTTATCCATGATGTTCCTTTACCTGGGAGCTCCTATCTTGTATTCAAAGTCCAGCCCACTTGTCACCTCTTCTGAGAACCCTTCCTAGGGCCTCCCAGGTAGAACCAACCACTCCCTTGACCCTGCTCTCATAGTACGTAGTCAGTATACTTATTATATCACTCCTCTTGATCTCTTTGGGGGCAAGAATGAATTCCCCAGTAGAGTGTGATGGTCTACAGCTGGTGCCACATCTGTCCCTGTGAACACAACCCCAGCCTCTGGGTGTCGCCTAGAGCCTCAGCCACTCCACACCTATCCTCTGTGCAGTGGTCCTCAGGCTTCACTTTGTTAGAGAAGCCCCCTGGGCGCTTGTTTCACAGGCACATTCCCCCTTCCTCCCCACAAAAGACTGATTGAGTCATGGTCAATGCATCTTGGGTGAATTAGATTTGTTCAGAGACTCAGCAATGGGGACTGATCCTGGGGCAAAGGGACCCATGTCTGGAGAAGGGAGTGAATGGAGTTCATTTATATTCTGGGATTGCAGGAAGATCTCACAGAAAGGCTCTTCACTCAACTCGATTAAACCTATGCGGGGGTCCATGCTGGGTGCACGTGAAGACGAATTAAAAATATCCTCTACGTTCTAGTCAACTTTTAGGATCCAGTTCTGTGTCCTAATTACTGTACTTCAGGAAGCCTCCCCAGCTCCTCAAAACTGGGCTGACTTGTCCCCCCATAAATCCAGGTTTATCCTCAGCAGAGCTTTATATTCACTGCATGGCAGCTGCTGAAATGTTGTCTACCCTCTATAACCACACTGTAAGTTAGGCAAGGACAGGGCCTGTGCTTAATCATCCTAGTCTGCTCGGAATTTACCTATTGTCGGCTCCTAGTAGGTATTTCAGAAACAGCTGTTTAACTAAATTGAATGAAATAGCCCTTTCACACCTCAGGAGACCAAGCACATTCAGTATGATCACAGAATGAGTACATAGCCAGCACTCCAGCATCTATTGACTGACTCAACAAACAAACATATTCGGGGCACTGGGGAGCTCAGCCTACGCGGTGGAGGGTGGAGGCGGGCGAGAGGCAGGAATGCCGGGTCCCTTCCGTGGTCCCCACTACTCTGTGCACTGAGGCCGGTGGTCCACGTGCAGGAGAAGCAAGCCGAGGCAAAGAGATGAAATCCACGGTGGATTCACCAGGGCTTTATTCGGTGGAATTTCCACATGGAAACGGATCCAGGGAGAGGAGCAAAAATGCAGGGTATGGTGTGGAGAAAAAAAAGAAAAGAAAGGAAAAGTTCAAACAAGCTGGGAGGCCGTGGTGGGTAACTGACTCCACATCGGGGTACAGAAGTCCGCACCATCGGCAGACCCCTGGGCCCCAGGCGGGGAGAGCCGGGGAGAGGGACGCGCCTCGCTCCCATCGGTCCGCAGAGGTGTGGGGTCTCCCGCGCGCGGGTGTTTGCTCCCCTCTCCCCCGAGGCCAGGCGCAGCAGTCCACCGCCCCCCCCCCCGGCCGACCGTCCCCACCCCGGCCCCGGCGGTGTCGGCCAGGCGGGGGCGGGCCCGGGCGCGGGTGTGGAGCCGCGGACCCGAGGGGGATGAGTAACCCTCGGCGGCGAGCAGGCGCGGCCGGCCCGGAGCGTGCCAAGTTCCAGCCCGACGCGAGCTCGGCCCGGAGCGTCCGGGGTCGTGCCCAAGGCCCGGGAGGGGCGGGCGGCCGCACCCTGGGCGGATAAAAGGGCGGCGCGGCGCGGCGCGGCGCGGGACCCGCTTTCTCCACGCCGGGCCTGCGGCGCGGCTCGCGGGCGGGCACCTGACGCCGGAGGCAGGCGCGCGAGGCCCTGGGCAACCGCGGGCAGGGGCATGGCAGAGGTGGCGCGCGCGCCGGCCGCCCGGCCGAGCCTGACCTCCATCTCGTCGGGGGAGCTGCGCAGCCTGTGGACGTGCGACTGCGAGCTGGCCCTGCTGCCGCTGGCCCAGCTGCTGCGCCTGCAGCCCGGCGCCTTCCAGGTGCGCGGCGACCAGCTCGTGGTGTCCGGCCCCGTGGGACCCGCGGCGGCGCGCGGCGGCTTCAACGTCTTCGGCGACGGCCGCGTGCGCCTCGACGGGCAGCTCTACCGCCTCAGCAGCTACATCAAGAGGTGGGTGGCCTCGCCGGATCCCCTCAGAGGCCTCCACCCCGCTGTCGTCCCCGGGACCCCCGGGTGGCCCAGGCTTCCCGCCACCCCCTCACCTCCTCCTCATACCCTTCCCGCCGAGATCCCCCCCCCCTTTCATGACACTTGTAGGTTTGCCTCATTGCTAACGTCACCTGGAGGTGCACAGCTCCCCCAGCCCTGGCCTTTTCTACCCTTTGCGCTGACATCTTGCGGCTACCGCTTCAAGCCGCCCAGGAGGGCATCAGGGCAGACGCGTGGCGTAGGGCTGGGTGGGGAGCTCGTAACTGGCGGGTGATTTTCCCTTTCTGGCTCCTTAACTGGGTCAGATGAGCTCAAATGGAGACACACCCTTCAGGGGGTGTTTGCAGAGGAGAGACTCACGCCCTGGCTTTGGATTTGTGGGGAGGGGAGAGGCTGCTTAATTCTGTATATTACTGGCTTGATCCAGTGACGAGACCCAGTGGAAAAGCGTGCAAAAGTTCAAAGTTTCCCGTCCTTGGCGTGCCTTCGTTTTCAAAAAGTAATGAAATAAACCATGTCTGAGAAAGGAACAAAGCCTGGTATGAAGTCCAATCCAGGGCCATGTGGGCTGTGATGTGGGCAGGCGAGTTCTGGGAAAATAGGTGCAATGAGGGTGGCTTCCAGGATCCTGGCGCAGAGCTGGGCCCAAACTTAATTTGATGGCAGGTGCCCAGGAGGCTTAGCTGTTGTGGCCAAAGTGTCAGAAGCATTTCTTAGCAAACTTGCAGTCAGCAGGCTGTAGTCCATCTGAAGCAGGCTCTGATCATCATGGGATAAAGGAAGAGGGAGCTTCATGCCTGATTCTACATGGCCGCATGCCTTGCAGAGGTCATCCTGTACTTGTGTGTGTGTGTGGGTGTGTGAGGGCGGGTGTCTTATACTTGTGCTGTGGAACTAACTGAGCTTCGGGAAGCGGGCAACGCAGTCTAGAGTTTGAATCTGAGCTGCGTAAGCTGGCCAGCTGTGAAGATAACAAAGCCTTCGCTACTGGGAACGACAGCAGTGCCGTGGTACCCTGTAGGTGGGATGGAACCAAAAAGGGCAAGCAAACAAAATGAGGTATTTAAAATGCCTTCTTCAAGGCTGCTGGGAAAAACATTGCTTTTCCACACAAAGATAGTGAGGGCTTTGAATGCCTGAAAAACCATTCTGCAGCAAGAATTTCTCTCCCCTTTCTTAGTCAAGAAAGTGCCCCCCCATAAGCAGGGGACGATGGGAGGAACTCAGAAATCATATTTGCAAAGATTAAAAAAAAGTTAACCATTGTATTTGAAAACAGAGTATGAAAAATTAAAATGTCCAAAATTAATTGAAGCCATAGGTTAGGCTTTTGACAGAGCCAGCTCCCTCAATCTTAGCAAGCAGTGCGGCAAAATTGAAAATGATGTCGAAGTCTGGTTATTAAATTCTCACTTTGAACACCTCCTACACAAAAGACTATTAAACAGCAATGGTCCCCTGGCAGTTTAGAGTCCAAATAAACAATGACCAGACCAGAATGCAGTGAGGATGCAACAACAAGCTTCTCATTGTCGAAGCAGTTGAGTGAGGGCCTTTGGACCCTGGGACATAGCAAGGAGCATCTGAGATTAATCTGGGTGATAGAAGGAATGATCTTTCTCTCAGGGGACAATGCTGCAGCAGGGGAAGTAGGCTTTATAGGTGGGTGTACAGTCCTGAAGGGTGAACCTGATCTGGATGGAGAGAGCCTTCTAGAAGGGAGGAAGGACTAGGTTGAGGACAGCAGTGACAGGGATCTGATCCTTCATGGATCAGAAAGTGGGCGCACAGTCAGAATGCAGACATCGAAGTTGCCTCCTTAGATCTGCCAAATTTACCCAGTTGTCTTTGGCTTTGGGGATAGCATACAGCTTCCTCTCTCAGAACATTGCTCCAAAGCAGTGATTCATTCCCTCCCTCTCTCCCTTCCTTCCTTCCTTCCTTCCTTCCTTCCTTCCTTCCTTCCTTCCTACCTTCTTTCTTTCCTTCTGTAAGCTTTGGCCAGTTTTACTAAAGAAAAACTGCATAGTTTTCTTTTTACTAGTCTGTTCTGGCACAATTCTAAAGATGACAGAATCACCTGGATCAATGATAGCCTAGCGTGCATTATTTATTTTCAGCATGCTATGCCCCATTCAACATTATTACCACTGCCATGCTGGACAGCGGTTTTGGCCAACAGGGCACAGTCCTATCTTTCAGACTTCCTCGAGGTTGGGCCATTGTTGTTGAGGATGACCAGTTTCGCTTTGCCTTGTCAGTCATCATAGCCGGCTTGTACCCCAGCACGCACTTCCCACTTTTCATGTCCGGTTAGGACCTAGAGTTGATGGACTCCAGCAACTTTTTCATCTTTTCTGCGGCTACCATATTCCTACCTTAGGTGTGGGATGGCCTCCAACCAGCAACAGCTGCCAAGATAGCCAGGGAATGAGAAAGGCAAGCAATGATTCTTAATCATTTCAGACTAATAGAGCTTTTGAGAATTTCTGTAGACCATCTCCCGAGATATATATATATATATATATATATATATATATATATATGCACTAATGTTGCTGACCATCCAGCTGGTTTATGAGATACTTGGATCCAGGTTAAGGATCCTTGCTCTATTCATTAATTTAGTTCTTTTTTTTTTTTTTTTTGGTTCAACAACCATTTTTGGTGTGGGTAAGTTTACAGTGTAAGCAGGATTTCCTTTTTGAGGCCTCAGAAATGTGCGCTGTGACTTTTGTGAGGCCCTTTCCTCAGGAAGAGGCTTTGGGCTACTGACCCTGACATTCATGTGATTCACTCATTCAGACAATAAGAGGATGACAACAAGAGGATGGCTCAACTTACTCAGCTGTGTCGTCTGATACTTGACCGTTTTCGAAATTCGTGGTAAACCTGAGGGAACCTGGGATGGAGAGGGGAGGTTTAGGGATGGCCACCACGGCTCTAGAGCTCCTGAGAGCCTTCTCAAAAAATCTATTCTAAATTTGGGGGAGTGAATGGTAAGATCTTCCTTGTTATTTTTTTCTTTCAAGCTCAGAATTTCCATCCGTGTTACGAACAAAACCTGCTCGGGATACCGGGGGTAAATAACCATTAACGCACACACGTTTTTTCCCTGTGACGTGATGCAGCCTCTTAGAGAGCTGTAGTGGCACGTGTTGGGCACATGGGAAACGCCATGCTTCTTTTCAGAGGTCTCCGAGCATGAAGGAGGCTGTTCGGGTGATAAACAGAAGTGCGTCATAATCATGGCAGCTGCTTAAGTTCACTCAAGTGGCAGGAATGGCACAAAGTAGTTCACAACTCTTACCTCACAAAAGCTTACAAAGTTGGCACGATTGGTGTTTCCCTTCTTTTTCCAGGTGAGGAAATTAGGACTCAGATTAAACAAGCTACCTTAGCGAGGAGCTGGTGAGTCGTAGAACGGGCCAGGCCTTCCGTGTCACCTTGGCTTACGGTAAGCCTCTGCTCTCAGCCTCAGAGCTGCAAGGATCGTGACTTCCTGTAGACAGTAGCCGCTTTCTCACAAGTCTCCTGAGCCGACAAATGACTGGGATTACAGCAGACATTACGCATCTCATATAATCAGGCCCACAGAGCAAGGAAATCCGGTGGCCGTGAGGAAGCCACTAAAAGCAGAGATGCGAGCTGCTCCTGCCCATAGGCGACCAGCTGTTAGATGGTGACGGGGACACCTGCCTGGAGGTCAGCCACCTGGGGCAGGGGCTGCAGGGGGCTGTGGGGGGGGACACGGGGCCCAGCTGAGGCGGAGTCAGGGCTGCAACCTGGGGAGATCTCGCCCGCACCTGCCCCAGCGAGTGTTGGGCTGTGTCTGTGGGCCCAGGCTCCCCTCTCTGAGGCAACCCGACTGGAGGCGGGAGGCGGGTGACTGGTCCTCTGCCTTGATCCCAGTGTCTGAGTCTCAGATTTGGTGACCTGCCCAGGACAGCAGCCCCTCGCTGTGATGTGTGATGCTAGTGACGAAGTAACCATCCTTTATGCGTTGAGCTATGATCCGCATGGGATGCAGTCTAGAATCAGTGCGGACAAGCACGGGGGCCAGGACCAGACTGCCTTGGTTTGAATCCTGGTTCTGCAGCTTAGTAGCTGAAGGACTTGGAAGATGTCTTAATCTCTGTGACTCAGTCTCCTCCGTGTATAATGGAAATAATAGTACCAACAGCCTTATAGGGTTGTTGTTCAGAATTTAAATTTATAAGGTCCTTAAAGCAGTTACTGGTACATATTGATCGCTGGACAAATGTTAGCCTATAATATCATTAAGCAGCCCCATAAGCGAAGTGCCCCACACACATTATCCTGTCTGTTAGCCACCTGATGGGGTACCGTTTGTTAGCCAGATTTTACAGGGGAGGAAATTAATCTCAGCAAAGCTAAAAAAAAACTTGCTGAGGTCGCAGAGACAGAAATTGAACCCAGATCTGATGATTCAAAAGCCACGTGCCATTACTGCTTTCTTTCCTCAGGAGCCTTGCTCTGGACCTCCAGCCACACTCTGGTCCCCTTCTTACTCTCAGCTCACCTGGTGCCTGTCAGATGCCCGCCTGCAGGCCCCAGTGCAGCCACCCCACACTCCCCGAGGCTCAGCTAACCCGTGACTCCTGCTGGGGACGTCTCCCTCCTGCACTGGCCCACCCAATGGTGGGACCTTTGGCTGGACAGAACAATCCCTCTTGTCTAGCTCAGCTCAGGAAATGGTTCTAACTCCAGACCCCTCCTGCTTTGCTCTTTCTTATTTAAATAACCAGAACATAACACCTGAATGCAGAGAGCTCTGCATTTCTCTGGCATTTGTATGTTTGATCATTAACTCCTTTGTAAGCCTCTTAACGGCAGGGACCATGTCTTCGATCAAACTTGAAATAAGCATGCAGTTCTCCCGGGGATCTTATTAAATCACAATTTTTGGGTTGAATAAGACCGGGGAGGAGCCCAGGACTCTGCAGTTTTACCAGCTCCTCGGTGATGCCAGTGCTGATGGTCGAGTGATCATGCTTTCAGCAACAAGGTTTTACCAGTCTATCATTTTATATTGAAATGGTACATTTTCTTATGTCTTTCTAATAGACTAGATTCTCCTCGAAAGCAAGACTATTTCCTTTTGCTTTTTGTGTCCTCAGTGCCCGGCACACATGCTTCATGTTTATTGCATGAAAAAGTGGATGCATGAGTGCACCATTTCTGCCCCATGATGGGGGCGGGGGGCGGGTGCGCGCGGGGCAGGGGCATGTACCGAGCATCAATAACGAATGAATGAATGAGTAGATGAACATGTGTGTCCTTGATTCGAATCACCAGACTGTAAAGTGATAAATCAAAAAATTTTGCTTAACTTCCCTAGAGTTGGGGCAGAAGGAGGGGAGGAAGTGAGAGAAAAGGAGCTATCTGACAGCTCAGGCTGAGGCCCCACATAAAGCTGTCACCTTAACACTGGAAACACAGCAGGGCCCTCCTGCTTGCCCCCAAGGGCAGAGTGCTTTTGCTGAGTGTCACAGCAAAGGATTATGAAAGCCTAAGCAATTTCTGGGCCTTCTACACAAGGACTGTTCCATATGTGTTCCTCTTTTTCTGGGCTCCCCGCTCCATATTTTTTTAAATGAACACACACATGCGCACACACCCCCTCAGATGGAAGCCATAGGTTTGAATTCTTATTGGCCTCTGAGCATTAAAGCACCAGAGCCAAGGGAAATTTAGGGCAGCTTTGCAGATCGTGCCAGAAATGATGTGAAACCTGAAGGAACCTCCAGAGAAAGGTAGGCATCTCATAGGGGAATGATCTCTCAGCCACTCCAGATTTGCTAGAAGCAAAAATACAGTGTTTTTTTCTTGGTCTCATCTTCCAGGCATTGCCTTCACTAAGCTTTGCATTAGCCTTCCGAACTGAAAAGCGGAGGAAAGAAATTGGAGCAAGGAAGGAGAAACTCTTGCTCATGTATTTTTCAGATGCTCCTGTTGTCCTTTTTCCTGGTCACTCAGATGAACACAGCCCTGGTTGTGTGTCACGAGTCTGTAGAACTTCACCCTACGGCAAGTACCATTGCCCAGGATTAAAGATACTAACCATGTTTGTTAAGCAGCCACTATGGGGCCCCAGTACATATGTGTCTATTACTTGGGCTGCCTTGAATCCTCGCACAGAAGGAGATCCTGTTGTATCACTTCTACAGATGAGGGCGTGGATTCAGACAGGTGAAGTAACTCAGTCAAGGTCACAGTGAGTTGTGGCTCTGCAGCTGAGTTCACACAGCCAGTCAATAAGGGCATGAATTAGATCTTCTTATTTCGAATCACTAAGCATTGCATCACGTTGGTCGGCCTTTCAAACTTTGGACTGAAGCCAGGCATAGAAAGTTTCAGCCTAGAAGCATTTTGGGGCCAAGGTAAAAGCAATGAAGACATGAGAATTTAAAGGAGCTATCTTAAACCCTTTGCTCTTTATCCTTAATAACTTTGGCAAATATAATAAACATCCAGCGCAGAAGAAACAGTATTTGCATTAGTAATTCAGAAATACGCATGATTAGAGATGAAATAACTAGTCCCTAAAGTAGTCTGGTAAGGCTCCTCTTAAAACCAGTGATCGAATCTCAGATACTTAAATACCTGTGAGACTTCACAACCAGGTCCTCAGTCTTTTTGTATTTTAGTGACTTACATATCCAAATTTTGTAAGAGTGAATTCCAAAGAATGCTTGCATTTATTAATTTCACTGGAATTTGAAGGTGTTTAACAATTGTTCCATCACTGGTAGGCTGGGAATAATGAATTAAGAAGGCATTTCTTATTTGTGACCTGGTTGAAACAGAGAGTTCATTAAGTAGGGATCTTGCTACAATCTCTTGTCTGTAAATTCTGTTACAGAGCTCTCATATAAATAGCAGCATTTTCACACATCTGTGGCATCGTGATGACTGACATGCTCTGTGGTGATGTAGACAGCCCCGTTAAGATCCTAAAAGTGCCTCTAAATCATCAAAGGAAGATTAAATTATGTTGAGCATAGTTTTATTATCCAGGGCATCTTATTAAATTCGGACTCCAGAAAGGGTGACTCATGTATAGGTTATGCATTAAACTCAGTGTGTGGCTATCCAGAAGGCCCCCCCCCCATCTCGCCTGGCCCGGCCCCCCTTCTCTGATCACGAGAAACAACAACTCTTGGAGCCCCAAAGCATTCCACAAAACCTTCCACAGTATTTTGGGGAAAACTGATTACTTTCCCAACCAGTGGTCATTTCTAAATTGAGATTTTCATCCTTTTCCTATAAGCTGTGGATTCATGAGAATAAAATCGATGGTCACTCAGATTGGATGTTGACTGGTCTCAAAGGCAGAGGCAGGTACTGTGCTGTCATTTGCAACATCAGAATAGTAATCGGGATGGCAGATTTTCCAGACGCGCTGTACATCAGTGCCGTGCGCATGCCCATGTGAATGACATTCAGACCGTGGATACTGAGAGCAGAGGAGTCACCCTGAGGAAAATATGAAATGTTTAAGTGACTATAAATTAACTCCATGGCAAACAAGGCAGGAGAATATGAAAATCTGCCTTGGATGGGTCACACGTGGCCCCTGACTCTGCCCCGGCATCTCGCATCTATCTTGTTGATGTTTACTCCAATCGGACTTGTCCTTTTCTTCTTCCGTGGCTGCAAGGGTTTGCTTCCATTTCTCGTCCTCGGCACCTCTCCCCACACCCCCTGTAGCCACAGACCTCACTGGCTCTCCGAAGCCTCTGCCAGGCCACTCTTGTCTGCCCGTGCCAGGTCCTGGATGGCAGAGGGGCTGGGAGGACACAGGGAGCCCCTGTATTGCCCCCCGCTACCCCAGCGCCACCTCGCAGGCCCTGAGCCCCTCCGGTGTGATAAAACACGTGCGATGCCTATCCGGTGCCCAGCGCATAACCGGTGCCCGATTATGAGTGAACGAATGAATGGGAGCAAATGAACTCGGCAAATGGCAATTCCCTTTCTCCCTCCTTCTCTTTTGTTTCCTTTCTTTAGTGCCTTTTGGCTGTTGGCCAACTGAGACGAAAAGGAACGGGAACACTCTCTCCCTGCTGGTATGGAACACGAGGGCCACTCGCCTTCGGGTGCCCCACCTCTCCCCCCTTCTCACTGGGCACTGTGCTGCTCAGGTGAGGATGAGGGCTGGACCGGGACGATGGAGGAACCGTATAAAAATTCCTGGTCTGCCTTATCTTCCTCAGTCCATTCCCTTGTTATTCCCGCTGGTGCCCCACCCCTTCTCCCCGACTCCTGCCCTCCTCACCCCACTCCTGAGGGTCAACGCCTGTACCCCCTTCCCTCCCCTGGAACACACCCGCCCTGTATCCCCTTCCCCACCCCAGGACAAGCCCCCCGACCACCCCCAGTGCCCCTGGCATGGGAAGCCGAGACTACATTAAAAGCCTGGTGAAATACAAGGCAGGAAGCCTTTTAGAGGCTCCATCAGGGGTCAGGTTTTAAAAGCTCTCAAAATCAGGTCTGACAATCACAGGAAAAAGATAATGATACAGATTTCTAAGAAACCAAGCTGGGAGACAGACAAGCCGAAGCTGTGTTTTTCTGCCTTGGGGGTAGATATTCTCCCACGTGCTCACAAACCATGCCTCGGTCCCGGTCTTGTGTGCCGGCCCCTCTGAGCAGGTGGTGGGAAGTGGGATGGGGCGGGAAGCCGAGAGGACTGTGTGGTCGCAGCTCCCTGCCGCGGAGATCCCTCCAAGGCTGTGATTTTCATGTCAGGCACTGGACAGACAACAAGCCAGAGAGAAACACTCATGCTGTCTCTGCCCGTGACTAGATGTAAGAAGCAAACACACCTCAGCACAGCAAAAGTAGCCCGTGCTGTCAGCCAGGGCAGCCATTCACTCCATGCAGATGCACACAGCTGCGCCTGCCAATGGGGACCCAGGCCTGTGTTGGCGAGGGATTGTGGCAGGTGCCTCCTCCAGCCTGCTGGATGCCATTCTGCCTGTCTGCGTCCACGTGGTCTCTGAGCTTGGGTGTGGATAGGAAATTAGCCATCTTCTTGAGGGAAGCCGATTTGCACTTCGATCTGTCTTTTTCTCACCAATGCACGTAGAAAGACTACTTGGAAAATTCATAGACTAGGGGGAGAAAGCTGGCATGCTGGATGACAGAGTCAAAATGCAAAAAAGAACTCCCCAGGCTGGAATAATGCATGAAAACCAAGGAGGCTAAGTTGAATAGGGTCATGGGCAAAAGTCCAACATTAGTGTGGTCTTTTTTTTTTTTTTTTTTCATTGCACAAAGCTCAGGAGCAGGGAGATATGAATTAGTTCATATGACTATTGGTTGATTGTGTTATCTATGGAGGGGCTGGGATCTCATCTTGGGATTAGAGAAGGGAGGAGGGGAGGAGAAGAAAAGGAAAATTTCAGACCCGCCAGTTTGGCAGGATGACTGGAGAAGACCCAGCTTATATCCCACTCGTTGAGTGTTAATTCCTTCTCAATCTGGACAGACACAGAGCTTATTGCTCCAAATTAACTCTTACAGCCCAAAAGATAGATGGTACTGGCTATCATCCTGTGAGGGCTGCCCCTGAGAGCCAAGCATTGGTGCCAGGCCACCCCAAAGACCACAGCCACCTTAGGGTTGTGTCCCGATCTCTCATCTGACTAGGGAGGGGACTTATTTATATGTTATAAAATATGACTCCCTCCATAGGACACATTTTAGGGGACTTCCCTCACGAGATCTGTGGATGTGGCAGGCACCTATCCAGGACATCCTCCTCCTGACCTAGATAGGTGAGTATATTACATTTACAATTATCTCTGCTTTTTCCATAGATATGTGGAACTGACCAACTACTGCGATTATAAAGACTACAGGGAAACTATACTGAGCAAACCAATGCTGTTCTTTGTTAATGTACAGACCAAAAAAGACACCTCCAAAGGTAGGTATCTAAATATTTTTGGTTGGATCCTGCCTCCTGAGGCTGTGGGCTGTGGCACTCTAATGAGGTAGAAATTGTGCATGGGGTAAGCAAGGTGGGTGTCAGCTGTGACAAGGCCAGGAGCAAGGAGGAGCCTGGAGTGTTAGACCACCTGAAGCACAGCACAAGCCTGCAGAACCTCTCAGTGATCTGAGGGCAGAAGCCCTCTGTTTCAGGGTTTTGTCTTAACTTCCTGTCTAGGCAGGAAGTGCTATTGTGTTCCGAGTTGGCGGGGCTTGAAAAAATGGCTGGAATGATGGTGATGATCTGTAATACTGTCTACCACATGCCAATTGCTTACATACGTGAGGCATACTCCTGTGTCATTAATTGACACAGCAGCCCTGTAGGGCTTTCATCCGAATGGGAAGATTTTTGAGTATGAAAGTAGGGACTATTAATAATTATGCTGGGACTGAGGTATAAATGGGCACTGATCCCGGGGAAATAGGATACAGAGTCATACTACCTATGAGATGCTTATACCCATTTTATAGATAAGGAAACTAAGGTAAAGAAATAATAACAGTGGTAGATGCTTTTATGTTTCACGCTATGGCCTTCAAATCTCAATTTTAGGGGTATCTCTTTATTGCTTCTTCCAAGAAATCAGACTAACTGCTAACAACTCTATTAACTCCAGTTCTGATATGAAAATATCTCCATTTTCCCTTCTTCCTGCTCCATGTTATGTGGGGAAAGTCACGGGCATCATGCTCTGTGATAGAGGCAGAATTTCTTAATTCTCCTTCTAAATAGCATTCTCAAAATGAGTCCAAGGTAATAAGAAACGATCTACAAATTCCAAATAGACTTTCTCAAACATTCATTCTCATTCAGATTCGTGGAGCTGATTCTCTGTTCATTTCATTCAGAATCATTCAGATTCTCTGCTCACTTGATAATTCAGTCAACAGTGCTCTCTCGGCAGGAAGGGCTGGGAACAGAATACAAGGCAACAAGCCGTGCTTGTTAGAGCATCTGAGCCCCTGATGTTATTTGGCTTGATGATGACCGGAAAGCCGGAGAGTTCTCCAGCAATGTAATTCACAGACATATCAAGTACACCTCCTGCGTCGATCCCTCAGGAGGAAATCTTAACAAAGAATAAGAGACCTCTCCATTTTAGCATTTTAATGAAGGTGCAGGGAATGGTACAGGAGGTATTTGTGGATTTGCAGGTGGCCTACAAAAGGTACACAGTTGTATGACAGCTATCATGGAAGGAGGTACAGAAACCCAGTGCTGTGTAATTGTGAGGAAAACCAGGAACTAAAGAGCTTCTATGATACAGAAGCTTAAGATGGTCAAGTTTAAATTATGAAAATTATAAGTAAGGTAACACCTTACTTATAAGTAAGGTCCAACCTTGCTGCCAAACGGCACTTTTGTGCAAATTAGAAAATAGCCACCAGTGACTCAACACAATTTACTAATCCTTTGCTGAAGTTTGTTGTAACAACTATACAAATAGACGATGTCTATGAATGTCAATGGCATCCTCTAGAGTTGTGCAGTGCATAACCCGCCCAACCAGCACAACTGTAGAGTGTGGTAGCCCTTAGTATCTAATGAACCTAAAGATCTTAGTTTTGTTTGTGTGAAAGTTAATTCAAGGTATCAAATAGCTTGCTTGCTTTACCTCTTACCTCAAAGAGCATATAAGGTAATTTATATTTAAAGTGCCCCCCAGGTGGGGGGATGGGTTAGCCTGGTGATGGGTATTGAGGAGGGCACGTTTTGCATGGTGCACTGGGTGTTATGAACAAACAATGAATCATGGAACACTGCATCAAAAACTAATGATGTAATATATGGTGATTAACATAACAATAAAAAATTAAAAAAAAAATAAAAAAAAAAATAAAGTGCCCCCCAAAAATGGTAATTTGGGAGAAAGGAAACAGGGGTAGAAAAAATAAGATGAGTAAGTTTAGTGCAAAAGTTAGCTCAATATTTATTCCTCAGGGATGTAGGACTCATTACTGGTAGACCACAGGTTTGTCTCTCAAAGCCTATGCAAAATGCTCAGTTCTCAAAATCACATAATGGCTGGTCCATGGCCTTTAAACAGAGAGTGACCATCTATGTTACGTGTCTGTCTAGAAAAAAATGCTTGACTAATTAAGGCTATGGAGCTTGATTCTGGGGCCTGGAAAAGTTAAGAAACTCTTGGTTTATAATATTTCAAATTTCCTAATGAACAAACAACCTTCTCTTTGCTTAGATTGTATAGAATCAGACAGAATTGGACATAAGGAATTAAAAGAAACAAAGAAAGAAAAAAAAAAACAAATCAAACCACCACCACCGTCAACAGAACAACTCTCTGCCAGGGCAGAGACGTGGTATTATTTAAACAATGGGAAGGACTTCTCCTGCTGGGGACAGTGATGGGGTGCGGTGTGGAGGAGACTCAGTCTCAAATTGTCTTGATCCTTAGAATCCTGGACTAGCCCTTTGGTAGAATGCATGCCAGGTCTTTGGGTAAGGATGGGAAGATATGGGTGATGGGCGGAGAGGGATGGGGCAGCCTCCTTCCCTGGACTTGGCTGATGTCCTGCTTTGCAAATGAGGAAATGTTGGTGAGAGCCAAGTCGCTGTTTAACTATCCAGCAAGGTTGTTTCGACTTTAGCTCCCCCATGCTGGATGCATGCCCTGGGACTCAGTTCTCATCTGTGATGATTAGGGTGACAAAGTGCACTTAGGGGAGCTGATTTTCTAACCGGCTGTTACAGTATCCCAGAGCTTCCTTCATGTCTACAAAATTCTCAGGAACATTTCTAGAAATCTGGTTAGGCTTTGCAGTGAGGGTCTGAGGGAGCCTTGAGGGACATTACAAATGAATAAAATCTCCCAATAAGGTGGGAATCACTGCTTTGTCAAATGCTAAGACGTATGTTTATGTCACACATGCACACTTCTATTTGAATTCTGCTTCCTAATTTCTAGAAAGAACATACGCATTTCTTGTGAACACAAGGCACCCCAAAATAAGAAGACAGATAGAGCAAGGGATGGACATGGTCATCTCCTCGGTGATTGGAGAAAGCTACCAGCTTCAGGTAAGCTTTGGTCAATATGAATCCAGGGCTGCCAACCACATAGAAAGGGGTCTGTGCATTTCATGCAAAGCCGAGTCCCTAGAGCTTAATTATAACCAGACACATAGATTTTCTATTGTTTCATTATTACTACCAATAAAATGAACTTGGTTCCTAGCAACTGATCTAGAAACAGTAGATGTCAATTTGACCACGCAGTTCAAAGGCTTTGGATGGCTAGGAGGCAAATGCAAAGGTCTGTTTTAAAAAACGAAAGCCAAGTGTTTAAAAATATCTGTCAGAGGGAAAAAGAAATAAGGGGTGTGGCATCTTGGATATTCGGGCTGTTGTTAATTCAGTGGTATAATTCTATAGGAATATATAATTCTGTAGTATAACGTTATAGTTATATCCATGACATTAATAAAATACTTCTCTCTCTTTCAGTTTGACTTTCAAGAAGCAGTAAAAAATTTTTTCCCTCCAGGAAATGAGGTGGTTAACAGAGAAAATTTGAGCTTTGTGTATGAATTCAAAGCTGATGCATTATTTGATTTCTTCTATTGGTTTGGGCTCAGCAATTCCACTGTAAAGGTGAAAGGAAAAGTTCTGAATTTGTCAAGTACAAGTCCAGAAAAGAAGGAGACAATTAAATTATTTCTGGAAAAAATGAGTGAACCTTTAATCCAAAGGAGCAGTTTCTCTGACCGAAAATTCAGTGTAACTTCCAGAGGTATGTTAAAAATTCCCAAGTACCTGAGGAAGGTAGTTAAATAAAAGGGTAGAATAATATCACGGGAATGGAGAGTCAGTAAACTGAAAACGAAAGGCCTCTTGATAAAGGGGAAATATAATGTCACATAATTCAGAAAGTAAGAAGCAAGAAATGTTTACTACTAAGAAGAAATACGGTGACTTTTGTTTTTAGGTTCCTTAAAGTTTTCTGACACCGCGGTTATAGTGTGCAGCAAACCCAGAATATAATTTTAAAATATATTATTCATTTAAATACATATTACTACTCATTTAAATATTAACAACAATTTATATATTAGGAAAGAATGATGCTTTCCTGATGGGCACATTCAAGGCAACAGAACGTTAACAGTTGTCAGCTGGGGGACGACTGTACATGGTCAAGATATCTATCTTTAAAAATATGTGGAAGGGTTCTGCAGAGTTCATAAGACCACAAAAGAACAAATCTGGAGAACGCTTTACCTAACAGATTTTAATCTAGATTTGAATATCCAGTGCCTCCTCCCCAGGAGCTGGGGAGACTTTTCAGTCTGCTTGTGGCTAAGGCAGATGACATCCATCAGGTCTTGTCTGGATTTGCCTTCTGCTGAGCCATTCTCCTGTCCCACGCTAGTCTGGGCTGGAAAGAAACTTCCCTGAACCAGGACTCTTGCTGCCAATTGCAAGAAGAAAAGACACAAACAAAGACAAACAGAATCACACCAGTCTCTATGAACCTGTAGTTTAAAAAAATGTTCCGATGTAAAAAACAGAGTCTTCATTAATTCTATTTAATGAAAGTTGCTTTCTTCCAATGTTTAGAGCAAAAGTGCTTATTCCCAAGGATTTCTTATCCTGGAAGGAGCCCCTGCGCATGCGCATGCGCATGCTCTCCCTCACCCTCCTTCCCCCCACCCCTCGGTCTCTCCCTCCCTTGCTCCTCTGCCAGCCACCCTTTCTGTCTTTCCCTCTCTGTCTCCTCCTTTCCAACTCCCTCCCTCCGCCTCTCCCTCCCTGTCTCTTTAGCTTTCTCTGACTGGGTGTTCCTTACAAAGATGCTTTGTGCTTTGCCCCATTGCAGGCACGTGGGCCGTTGCTGCAGTCCCGGGAGCCTGGTCCCTCCTGTGACTCCCCTCCAGCCCCACCCACTGGCCTTGGCAGCCTGTAGGGGGTGGGGGTTTCTGTTGCACATCCGTCCCCCTTTCCCTCTGTGTGTGGCTCCCCGGGATGTCCACTGCCATCCCGGGGGACACCTAGGGGCGGTGGAAGTTGGGCAGCGCTTCCTTGCAAGTTTGCTGGGAGCTAGGCCTGGGGCCGCTTGCCCTCCAGAGCAGCGGGGAGGCGGGGAGGGATTCTTCGAGACCTCCTGAGCCTTCATTATGCACCACAGGTAGCACAGCCAGGATGCATCCTCTGCCCTGGCCTCCACTGGCTCTGCCCTGGTGAATCGGCCCGGCTCTGTCCACTTCGCCGAACGGGCTTCTGGCCTAGGCCCCTGGGCGCCAGCTGTGGGCCTTTTGTCACAAGTGGGAAAACGCTGCACATCTACTGCGGCCCGTGGAAAAGCACTTGGTCCCTGTCCTGCTGGTAGACAAACAGCCAGAAGAAACTCTTCAGCTTTCTGAGTTTTTTTTCTGAGCAAGTCAGGAGTCTCCGCTAATTATCGAAATGGTTACGTTGTATGTTGTAGGAGTTTTAAGCCACTGTTGTTTGTTTTGTTCTTGTTTTTCCAGTGATGATAATAATGTGCCTTTGTTACTTTGCTCAGGTTCGTTAGATGAAGTTTTCAACTGCAGTCGGTCACCCAGATCGTCTCTGACTGAGGTTCTTTTGGCAGAATTGCCGTTTCCAAGCGTTCTGGAATCTGAAGAGACACCCGACCAATTTATCTGATTGGATTGAACATGTTATGGTCACTGCTATCTGCCAGGCGGGCCTGTTGGAGGACAGAAGGCTGAGGGGAGGCGAGAGGCTGTGGGAGGCGGGCACTTCCACCTGCTTGTCAACCCCTCTGCTCCCACAGACGGCTCCGGTCTTCCATTTCCTGGGCCACGCCCTGGCAGGCCCGATGCCGCTGACTTCAGACAGGGAGGGCTTTGGCCCGATGGCCTCTCCTTGTTAACACTTCTCCAGAGAGGCCGAGGGAGCAGCAGAGTCCTGCCAGGCTGAACGCTTTGCTTAGTATCGTGGGGTCCTGGGAGCTCCCCTGGCAGCCTTTGAACGTTCACGGTCCATACTGCATAAGTCAGCGGCCCTCTGCTTGGGACCTCCTTGTCTGAACCCAAATCCAGCAAGCAGGTGGTTAGCAGTGCTGTTTTCTTGCAAACGTGGCTTACGAAAAGCCTAGGACATTTTTCACTGGAAGACAGGTAGGTTTCTCATCCTTAGGAGGAACATTCTTGTAAGGGGTGCCAGAGGATTGGCCAGGTTGAGAGGCCAGTGACCTTGCCACCCACTGCCTGAAATTTGAGCTGCCTTGCTGATCTCTCTCATCAAAGTGGCCTGCGTGGGAAGTGGCCAGGTGATGTGGTACCAAACAGTGACAGGGGAAGGATAATGTACAGGGCAGGATCCTCTATTTGGAAACACATTAAGTCAGTTGGGTACTTTAAATAAGCTTTAAGCCATCCTAACACTAAAAGCAAAATAGAAGAAAGCTATAACATCACCATAATACACTGTTACATCAATACATTTTTCATCTCATAGCTACAATGGAATTCTTCAAAAAGAAAAAAATTCTATTTATATATAAAAACCTGCATGAACGAGTCACTACATATGCTTATAATGAGGAAGATTTATGGGTCCTGAGTATAATTTTTCTATCCTTTTTAAACAATTTCCTGTATTATACATTTTGAGAGCACTACTGATTGTCCCTTCATTTATATTGATATGTTGGGTACTCTACTTGCGCAATTAAAACTTCTTAACATTCAACATGGAATCAGTTAAATTTGTGACCAAGCATGTATGTGTGATCTTTCCACTGTGCTTTGCAGGTGGTATATTTGCCTTGTAACTTACTAAATGACAATTAGAATTCTGGTTTTCTCAGCTACTTTCTCAAGAAGAGCTTTTTGAAGAACGGGTCTCCAAAGCATTTGGAGAACAGAAAAAGAATTTGATACTGATCTTTCACAAAAGGAAAAGAAGTTCCTTAATAACAGAAGAGGCTACACATTTGTTATTCAACTCAGTGCCAAATGAAGAGTGTTCACAATAAAATAAGTTTTATACCAGTGCAAACAAACCTTAGGTGGATATCAAATATTACATTCTTCCCAAAAGAAATAGGGACTCCATTCACGAAAGTTGACAAAGAAGAATTTTTTAAAAGTAGCTGAACTGAGAAAAACCATCAGTAATCACTCCAAGAATGGACTAAAGATCTGGAAGTTTTCTTTTATAATTAAAACCTTTTTTTTTCATTGAACTAAAAGCAATTTTCATTGAGTACATTCACTCAATATTCACTCAGCAAAGTTTTATGAACTGCTTCTAAGGGAATATACACTGTGCTAATATATTTATTAACATGTGTCACAAAGGAGTGCTATTGGGTGATCTTTAAATTGGTGAAAAGTATATTGGGACAGATCTTTCTGGGTAAAGGAGGCTTCAATCTGGGTATAAATGCAGCCTAATTCAGGTATTTTAACAGTTCAAGATCAATTAATCTATAGGCCAACAATGATCTAAGCAATTCATCCATTCATTCAATTCAACCATTCATTCAAGTCATCCATTCATTCAAGTCATTCATTCAACACATATGATTGAGTGCCTACTCTGTGTAGTGCACTCAGGTGGGTGCTGGTATGTAAAGTGTCTAAAGCACAGCCCTTGCTTTCAAGGAGCGTCCAGAAAAATGAAATGAGCGCTATGAGAGACGTTCAAAAAAGAGAACATCTAAAACACTTAGGGATCCAGTTTTGGAGGTAAAATTATGACATAAAACCATAAAACTTAGTTTTAAACAAATATGTGAGGACTGATTTATCCAAGAGATTGATTTATTGAAGCTCTCAGTACAAGAGTCACCTTGAAGGCTATTAATTTATTCCAACAAGAATGCAAATCCAGACATTATCTACAGAGTGAGGGAGGTTTATTTCTCATTACCTCATGGTTAGAGTTTGATTTTTGGCTGAAGGATAACATTGCCCAACTTGATTGCCTACCTTAATTATCAGCTCGAATGTGAATGTCTTTTTACTGTTTCAAATCCCCAATCTATCTTCAAAGAGCCAAGTTATGCCCCTATTTAAGAAATTCAAAAGAATATGCATCTAGTTCTGAAGGGAGTTTCTAAAGAATTTCAAAAATGCTTTAAGCAATGGCAGTGTCATTAGAATAAATTATTACTTTGAAGAAGAGAACATTCATTTGGATGGGTAAATGCTGGTATAACAGATTTAAAAGGAATGTTCACACTTGATATTCAATACTTGAATACACTTGAAAGAACCAACAGTGGAAAGCATTAGTAATTACCCAATGGCTGGCCTGGCCCACTTAACCTCTCAAGAGTTCAGAGAAGAGGAACACACAAGAACCAGGGAGGGCAGAGCTGGCCCAGGAGGGAGGTGACGTTTATACTGGATTGACAAGGTTTTGATAGAATCAACAGTCTGAACTTGCTGCTATGGCTTTATTTGGATTAAATGTGAGTAAGTTTGGCGAGTGGCACATTGGAAGCAGGGCTTAGAATCTGCCCCATTAGATTGGACTGTCCTAACAAAATAGAGAACACTGTAGAACTTTCTTTTCTGGATCTTTCAGTAAAAGGATGTCAATCATTCTTGGCTACTTAACAACCTCTCCGAGTGGTAGATATGAATTAGGTGACTTCAGAAAGATCTGGACCTGGGATGGCTAATTTTATCTGTCATTTTGGCAGGGCCATGGTGTCCAAACATTATTCTGGATATTTCTAGGAGAGTATTTTTGGATGAGACTAATATTTAAATTGGCGAACTTTAAGTAAAGCAGAATTGCCCCCTACAATGTCAGTGCACCTCTCCCATCAACTGAAGGCCTGAATAGAACAAAAGCCTGACCTCCCCTGAGCAAGAGAAGATTCTGCACAGGTGGCCTTCAAACTTGAACTGCAACATCCGCTCTGCCCTGGGCCCCCCAACTGCTGGCCTTCTTTGCAGATTTTGTCTGGCTGCACAACTGTGTGAGCCAATTCTTTAAAGTGAAATAAGTCTCTCTCTCTCCACACAAACACACACACACACTCTCTCTCTCTATTGTTTTGTTTCTCTAGAAAACCCTGAATAATACAGACTCCATCACAGAAATTGAGAACATGTTTTACGAATTAATCAATCAGCTAAAACAAAGGAGAAAAAGCAATAGGCTTTTTTTTTTTTTAACATGAAGACACTCGAATAAAAGCATTGCATATTACTTAGTAATAGAAAGACTTTTGCCCAGATGTACTAAGCTGGAGAAACTTCACTCAGTATATCCATATCCAAAGTACTTGGGCAACACTGGAGATCGTTTGTGACCTCTGCCAGGCTTTTGGAAGCAGTCCGCTGCCAAATCTTTTACACATCCTTTGTTGGCTTGCTCTTTGAATCCTCCCATCAACTGATTTCCCATTCGCTTTCTCATTCAGGAGACACCCTTGCCTGTCATATTTCCTGGAGCAGAACTTCTCCAATTTGAATGTGCCTAGGAATCCCTTGGAGGTCTTGCTAAGCTGCAGGCTCTAATTCAGTAGGTCTGCGTTCTAGCAAGCTCCTGGGTGATGCAGAGGCTGCTCATCCTAGGACCAGGCTCTGGAACTGTCCATTTCAAACTTAATGATCTTAATCATCTGGGGATCTTGTTAGAAAAACAGAATCTCAGGCCCTACCTGACTTACCGAGTCAGAATCCCTGTTCTCAAGATGCCCCGGTATTGGTGGGCACGCTCGGTTTGAGGAGGAGCACACCCGTCTTCTCCAGGTCTGGGCCCTACCTGCTCTTTCCACACGGCAGGCAAGCTCCATCTCTCTCCCTGCTTCTTACCCACAGCCTAAGAACTTGGTTCTTCCTCTCTCGTTTGGGTACTAACTCTCTACCTGACCCACTCCCTCTCCTCCAGCTGGAGACTTCCTTCTCCTTCACAGCCAAAAGCTGGGTGTTCTACCCTTGCTGTTCCCTCCCTCTACCACCCACCTGTCGCTACTCCTTCATGTCATGTTCCTTCTGTGTGTGTGTGTGTGTGTGTGTGTGTGTGTGTGTGTGTGTGTGTGGTACATACGGGAGAAGAAATTTATTATAACAATTTAAATTGGAAAAAACCATTTAACATTTAGCCTCTTCAATACAACTACTCTCCAATTGTTGCTCAATTTGAAACTCTGTAAAAGGCATATTACTAAGCTGCACGTCTTAATTTCTCAACGGTTAACTCTTTCTGGTAGGTGATATGGATGATGTTGCTTCTCTTTCCCCTGGAAGAAGAGGACAAGTTTTATGCAAGGTTCTGACCTGATCGCTTCGCTCTGTTGCCGTAACCCACTCCAGTGAATAATTCTCCCGCTCAGGGGAAGCCCAATTTCTCAGCCCGGTGGCCCGCAGGCCCTTTGGCTCAGTGTTCCCCTTCACTCTTTCCAGCATGGCAATCCCATGCTGTGCTGTCCCCTGCCTCCTGGGCCTTTGCTCCGCCTGGTGGCAGCTCTCCGTCTCCCCTCGATTGCCTCCTAGGCATCCTTGAGAACTCAGCTCAGGCATTTCCTGTTCTAGGACCAGCTCCCCAAGCTCCCATAATATCCAGGGCATTGCCCTTACTGTCATCATGCAGCTCATTTTCAGTACATAGGCAGTGTTTGTTGAGGGAAAGTAGAGGGGAAAAAAAAATCATCTTAATCATTGAAAGGGGTTGCCTCAAGCAACCCAAATTCAGAGGCAGGAACAGTGCTATACCGGTCGTGATAAAATGGACTTGTACCAAAAATCCATTTTGAAGCAGGAATGAAAGACTATAAAAAGAATGAAGCTCAGAATAGCAATAAGACAAAAGAGCAATACCTTAGGTTTATGCGGCTTTATAATTTATAAATTATTGTTAGAATTATTCATCTTTACAGTCTGGCAAGGCAGGCACTGGTATACTCAGTTTACAGATAAATTGGGGCTCAGAGAACTATCTGCTTGATCCCAAGGGCCCCAAGTAGAAAGTACAAAGAGATTTCCCAGCTCCCGATTTGGTGCGTAGGCCACAATTCACAGCTTGCCTAAGAGGAGACAAATGTAAGATATTAATAAGAATTCACTTTCGGGGGCACCTGGGTGGCTCAGTCATTAAGCATCTGCCTTCGGCTCAGGTCATGATCCCAGGGACCTGGGATCGAGCCCTGCGTCGAGCTCCCTGCTCCGCAGGAAGCCTGCTTCTCCCTCTCCCACTCCCCCTGCTTGTGTTCCCTCTCTCACTGTGTCTCTCTCTGTGAAATAAATAAATAAAATCTTAAAAAAAAAAGATTTCACTTTTGAAATTCTATAGACTCCCTGCTCTGTTTAAAAAAAATACTTTTCTTAAATTATGCTATGCTAATTAGCTCTGTCATTTTCAGACAGTAATCTGTTATTGGGTGTTATTTTCCTCATTTAGATGCCACTACTAAATCCTAATTTAGACTCATTCCTTTTAATAACACCGACAGAACGCTATACCTTCTATGTGCTCCACCACCATTCATAGCTATAAAATTTGAGAGTCTAGAATGTGTCATATGTGTTCCATTATATGGATAGCACTCCTCTCAGAAAATTCTACTTTAGTTCTTAATTTTTAAGCAATACCTTGCATATGCACTTGGGATGCTTACTTTGATGCCTATTCTGTGTCCTTTGATAAACTCCTTTTTTTAAACGTCACCTTCACCTAAGGTCCTACTTTTTCAAATAACCTCTTTGCAGAGAAGGAATGGTTGTAACTTGCTTCCTAAATACGTTGCCAGCAGTCTCTAATGAGTATTTCCTCTCTTTTCCTTGCACCCAGGTGGCTAATAGCTGTGTCCTAGCCTGGAAGCATTCAATTTTACTAAGCGCCTACTATGTGTCGAACTACCAAGCTAGTTGCCAAGAATATGAAGATAAAAGACCCTCCACACTCTTGGAAAACTGCAACACACACACGGGGGCGGGGAGAGACACAGTTGAGTCTGTGGGGATAGAACAATTAAAGTGACAATCACAAAACTCAATGGTTCATGCCAGAAACCTCCCCTGGTGAGGAGAAAGGTGTCACACACATCCCTGCCCACTCTTGTTTCCTTCGTAATGCAAAGATCTATGACAACTTTGCCTACAGTCACTGAAGTTGAAAGATACCAAGAGATGAAAATTTGCAATTGCAAATCTGACAATAGGACTTTCTCTTCAACAACTCATCTTTTTGCTTCTTTCCCCACATATGCAAGACAATGCTCAGGAAAGCTCACTGCCAGAACTATACGAATACACGGAAGTAAGCAGCCGTATTGCTGGAAACACATCTGTGCTTTCCGCACCCCGTCCCCCAGCCTGCCTGATGAAGCGCTCGCCCTACACCTCCCGCACCTGTCGGCCCCCAGCTGAGCTGCGGAAAGTGACCCGCGTCTCCATGGCGACGCGTCACAAAGCAGCCGTGCGCAGCCCACAGCACCCAGTCCAGCAGGAGCAGAGGGCACCGCCACGGCCTCTTTTGAGCAGAATGGCACAGACTGGGCTCGAGGCCGCGTGCCCCTCTCAAAGCGGCCACAAGATTCAGCCAAGTAAGGCTGCGGACCCTGCCGGCGGGGGGGGGGGGGGGGGGGGGGGGGGCGGAGGGAGGGGGTAGCGGAAGGGGGGCAGGCTTTTTCCTGGGAATGGGGTACCCTAGAGCAAAGGCTGCTTCTGTCTGCAAGGGTGTTTGCCTCCCTCTTATGGGTGGGACTCAATTCATGGAGAGTCTGGGAGTCAGACCTCTACAGCCCTTCGCCATATTTCTGCAGATCCTCTCCCTAAACCGCTCAGGTGTTTTTAAACAACCCCCACGAAGTGCCTAGGAGGGTTCAGGAGAAGGGAGAGAATAGTGCCTTTCCAGGAGAACGAGGTCAAAGACAAAGAAGGTACAGAAGTCAGAGGCTTTGAAGACAGCAGACCCAGCAGAGACCCATCCCCACGCAGGATCTAGGGAAGAGCACAGAAGGCTGGGAAGTGCAGAATGCAGGACCCCTAAGTGGATCTGCAGAGGCAGCCTCCCCCCACGTGGCTGTAGCAGAGACTGGGAACCTGGCATTCAGCTGCCACTTCTATCTAACCTTTGCTGATTTCTCTTTCAATGAGATTTTGCATTTAACAGAGGTAGAGCTTTTGATGTTAATTTTGCATGCAAATGCAGCAGGTTTACAAAGTCCTCTTTTTGTGTCAGCGGAGGGAGAGCGTTCTAGCTGTGATGCTAGTGGCGTGATTACTGTGTAGTCAGCTCCATCCTGGCCTTTCTCAGGGCAATAATAACCCACCGCAGCCCTCTAGCTGGGTAATTGTGGTTCCATGGTGGCTACAGAGCTGTGGGAACTGTTCAGTTGCAAATACCCTAGAATTGTAGACCTGCCAGAAAGAACGAAATGCATATTTTCATTCCATTCATCCCTTTGTAAAATTAAGGGTAGAAAATGAAAATACTTAATTCGTACAAAATATATTGAAAACACTCTGTTTCTATATGATAACAAGGCAAAAAAAAAAAAAAAAGAGGCGGGGAGAGAACCTCCTTCCCAGGATTCCCCCACTACATTCCTTTTCAATCTCCTCCGCTCTTTCCAGTCACCTGTCTTGGTTTCTTTCACTGCCTCCTCTCCCCCTTCTTGTCTGGGGAATGTGAGAGTCCTCCAAGATCTATCCTTCTTGGTTCTCTGTGTAGTGGCCATGTTCTACCAAGGACTTCAAGTCTACTGAAATGTGCCGGTCGCTTTCTAATCTTCTCTCTCACTCCTAATTTTCAAACTAAAGTATCCAACTGCCTACCAAATAGTTCCATGTGGATGTCATAGAAGGGCCTCGAACTACTATGTACAAAATTACACTCCTTGTCCTGCTAGACTTTGTAGGCTCAGTTAGGGGGGTGCTTCACTGACACCTCACTTTGATCAGCAAGGCTCATTGGTTCTGCCCCCAAAGTTTCCCTTCCTGTGGGTGAATTTGACTCTTTGTGCCCAATCTTGGGGGTCTCTCTGCCACTCTATCTTCCACTGCTAGAAGGTGGGACTGAGGTGTCACTGCCTAGCTTTGATCCAAAAATAAGATGAGGTTGACAATGACTACCATGGGCTGCTTGCTATTGAACTATTACTAGATATGGGCTTGTAATTGCTGTATCAGTTTGAAGGACTGCCATTAATAACCATGAACTGGTGGCTTGGAACAAAGGAAATTTATCATCTCACATTCTGGAGGCCAGAAGCCCAAAATCAAGGTGCTGGCATGGCTGCACTCCCAGGGTAGCTCGGGGGCCAAATTCTTTCTTGCCTCTTGCAGCTTCTGGGGGCTGTCAACCTTCCTGTGGGCTCCTCACTGCAGTCTGCACCTCCAGGGTCACATCGCCTACTCTTCCGTGTGGCATCTCCCTCTGCCTCTCATGAGGGCGATGAAATGGCATTTGGGGCCCACCGATAATCCAGCATGATCTCATCTCATCATCCTTAACTGCAACTGCAGTTTTTCCTTACTTGGTACCATTCGCAGGTTCTGGGGTTTGGATGTGGATGTATCTTTTGGGTCCCCATTCAGCCTACTCCAAATGCTTGAATCTACCGTCCCCTTTAATCCTCCCGACAGCAAGGCGAACTTAGAATTCTCAGGTACTGTTCATACCTGCCCATCTGTTGGGCTATTGTGGAGGATAAAGCAAGATTCCATACGTGGAAATGCTTTGCAAAGTGTAATATAATATGCACCTGCTAATTACTATTTTATAATATTTTCAAAACCTCATAATAAATTTTCATAATAGTGAATACCTCCAGGGGTGATAAAGCGCCAGGGTAGAGCAGGGCAAACCAGGCCTCGCTGACCCGTCACTGGCCACTTCTTCCCTTGCCTCGCTCACATTGGGCCATTTGCCGGGTCTCAGACTTTCATACCTCATGCTCCTTCCTCTGAAAAATGCTTCACTCCGCATCCTCCTGTGGTCCCTGTCCAAGTCCCACTTTAATCCTGGCTGAGATGCTACCTACTCTATGAAGTAACTCCTGGACCCACCCTCAGTGCCCCTTCTCTCATCCACCCAGAAAGAATTGCACCTTCCTTGGGAGCTCTCATGGCACACAGCCCAGCAGCGCATCTATAAGCTTGTACTCACTGGAGATTTGCTGTCTTCTCTACTCACCTGGGAGCTCCCCAAGGGCAGGACAAGATCTCTATGTCGTAGGGTCCAGCAGGAGGCTTGGTCCATAGGAGGGGCTCAGACTTCACTGTAGAAATGAGACAAGGTAGAAACAGGAAGACAGAATCCTGAGAGAGGTAGGTGGACACAGGTTACAGGGAAAAACACTGAGATACTCACCGAGAATGAATACAAAAACAGGCAGTGGCATATTCTGGAAACAGGTGCTTAGAATATTAAGATCATAGATTTTTAAGTTACTATTTCTGTTAATGAAGAGGATTAATTCTAATCACATTGTATTCTCAGAAGCTGTGTCAATGGAAATAGGAAGCATAGACACAGACCTGATGTAAAGACTTTTAGTAAGAAAAGTCATTAAAGAAAAAATTGTAGAAAGATGTACTGGAAATTGCGCATCTCGTCATTTTAGTCATCCGAGTGGGTTAGAATTAGGGAGAGGGAGGTCCATTTGGTCTCAGGTCCTAGAGGCAGCTGCGCATGGCCTCTCCTGCACCTGATACCTTCTGGAATAGGATCTTAGCAATGGGAAGCTGCCAGCCCCCAGCCTGTCCTCAGGAAGGGGAAAGGTCACAGACAGGGATACCCAGAGGTGTATCTGGCTTGCCCGTGTGATTGATGGGGAGCTGCTGCCTGGATGCTGTGTTGCCAGGGTTTTTGAGGCCTATGTGGGCCTAGAAGGAAATTGGTCTGGTCTGGGTTAGTATTGTTTGCTTTAGGAAAAAAAAGGGTGAAATGTTGTGTAGTCTCTGTGCAGAGGATCTTTCCTGAGCCTTGCAAGAGTCACACTCCGAGGTTCAAATCAGGTTAAGAGAAGGTTTCTTTTAAGAGCAACTCTGCCTCCCAATTTCTTCCCACTTACTTGTCCATACTTGGAATTCTCTGAACAAGGAACATTTAATTCTGCCGTTGGAACAAAATGCTTGAAGGCACGAAGTGACTCCCACAAACCAGCAGCGTCGGAGAAGAACGTCATTTCTCGTCGAGTGGGACCTGGGCGGGGACATCCGGAGTGTGTGTGAGCAGAGGCATAGGGTGGAGCATGCAGGGGCTAGACTTTTGTTAGACTAGGGAAGCTGGTGGAGGTGAATCCCAACCAGAGAGAAGGTGGTGGGGAAACTGTCACGGAGGAGAAGGTCCAGCTGCCCGGCTGCACCCAAGGGCCTGTTAAATCAGAAACAAGAACTGGCTGGGAGATGGGGAGATGACACAGGAAGAAGTACACAGACAGCAAAAACTAAATGTTTGGTCAGAGCCCTATACGCTAGACAGTGCATATAGAATTTAGGACTGTTTGGAAACTGAAGAAGTATTCGAGAAGAATGCTTTATAGCAATTGTGTTTAGGATGCGCGAGTGGGAACACCACAGGCCATGAGGTGGCTACGAGGGTCTAGCAGTGAGGCGCTGGATCCCACACAGCAGGGTATTCAGACATTAAAGGGGACCATTTCAACCCAGGTTCCAGTGAAATGTGAACAGGTGAATTGCCCAGGTAGGAAGAATGAGAGAACGACGGAATTAAATTTAAAATCTTTTTTTTTTTTTTAAAGATTTTATTTATTTATTTCACAGAGAGAGAGGGAACACAAGCAGGAGGAGCGGGAGAGGGAGAAGCAGGCTTCCCGCTGAGCGGGGAGCCCGATGCGGGGCTCGATCCCAGGGCGCTGGGATCATGTCCTGAGCCGAAGGCAGACGCTCAACGCCTGAGCCACCCAGGCGCCCCCAAATTTAAAATCTTTACTCCCAAGAAGTGTGGTGGTACTTTGTGGACAATGAGAGGTTGGGGCAGATAAATTTTGTTGCTGTGAGCGCATGCCCCATGGTTAATTCTCTGTCTTTGTCCTCCTGGACCCAGCCAGCAGCATTTCCCATAGGCGATCCCTCCCCGCTGCCTCCTGGAAACTCCTCCTTCCTGTGGCCGTCGGGACACCACATGCCCTGGTGTTCCTCTGTCCTTACAGACCTGCTCTCCTCCACCTCCTCCTCTGATTCCTTCAGCCCTTGGACTGGTCTCCGCCATTTATCTCCCCTCTCTTGTTGGCGCCACCCGCGCTCACCGCTTTAATTCTCACCTGTGCTGCGGAATCCTGCTCAGTCCCGACAAAGAACGCCTTAGAGCTGCTCCGGATGAGTTGGAGGGGGCTATTCCTATGGGGATAGGACACTGTTCAGGGACAGAGAGAAGAAAAAGACACTTTGTGAATTATGAGCCCACTTTTGTGAAACGAGATGGTGAAAACTAAAACCCAATGTCAAAGTAGTTATATACGTATATGTAAATCTCTAGATAATTCTATCAGCAGATGTTAAAGCATGGAAAGAAACCAGCACAGTTGTTCACATGGGGTGGGAGGAGGGCTGAGGAGGAGGGTCATAAGGAGCAGAGGAAGGAAGGAGGGAGGAGAAGTTGCCCGGGATAAAACGGGACATGTAAACTTTGTGTAAAATCATGGCATGTGTGTATAAGTTTATCTACTACGATGCATGAGAAGTTGGACACTGAAGTCAAAGCGGACGTCTTAAAGTGATAGCACTTCGAACAAACTTTCTGTTTTATATTTTTAATGTGTTGCTTGAACTCTTCAAAATAGCATGTACGAGTTCTCAGGAAAAACAATGGACTTATTTTTATTTAGGGAGGAACTCAGTTCATTCAATTGAGCTTTCCTCTTTCCTATACGAGGCCGCAAGTTGGACTTTGTTCCTTTAGACTTTAAATCACTATCCAAAAAACTTTTTTCTCTTGCAAAATTATTTTAATTATTAAAACAACATACGACGGAAATATTCTGGTTTGCCACATTTCAAACTGTTTTGTTGTACTTTTGACAGGCGATACCACCTGGGATTCCTATGCCACCACCATGAGGACTGCATACACGCCCAAGACTGGAGCCGTGCCTCCTTTAATTCGGTAGATCCCGATTTGTGTCGGGTTGATGTACATACCTTAAACTGCTCACCTGTATTCTATTATTCAGAGTCCAAAACCAAGTGAAAGAGTAATCAGAGAAGGCTTACAAAAATGTACGCATGGAGAACCTACTGCATGCACGGTGCTCCTCCAAGCACCAGATAACCTTCCCCCCTTTAGACAGTATCCAGAGAGGAGAACTAAGAAAAGGAACATATGAATCGTTCATAAAGGACCCTTCACTGCGAGTCCTGCTTTACAACAGAGCCGGTATATAGGTTAACAGAATTGTGATACCTGAACACAGTATGAATCGAATCCATTACCTGGTACATAGTAGGCAGGCAATGACAACTGAATGAATGGCTGAATGCAGAATTGTTAGCACTTCCAACACCAACATTGGTCTTGGAAGCTGGATGGCCATCACGCACTCACCCTTAGCTTCACTCCACCACTTACTGCTTCCTCAAATGGCTTGCAACTTCTCCATTTCCACCTGAATTGTGAATGGTGGGAATGTCTACCAGCTGCTTCTTTAAGCTCATTGGGGGGTGAGTGAGAGTGGGATCAGAAAAGCCCTGTCATCATTCATTGCATCCATGGTGGGTGGGAAACCAGCATGGAGAACCTTCACCTGCCTGTGTGAATTGTTTCCAATAAAGAGGACCTTTTCACCCCCAAAGTTCAAGTTGTTGAGAAGTCACATGGAGTATGGGCAAGACCATGGCTGAAGAGTCAGGCAGAAATGGGTTTTAACCTCTGCTCCCTGCTCTGACCCTTATTATCTCTGCTACCTTTGGCAGGTAACAAGCCATCTATGGCTCAGTTTTATGGTTGGTGAAGTGGGAATGATGATCCCTGCCTCAGGTGGTTGTTCAGAGAATGGAGTGAAAGCACTAGAATAGTGACTAGCACCAAGAAGTTATTTGAAATTTTTCATTAATTTTTTCCCCAGCATAATAGCTGATAGACTTTCAAACACTATAGGCCTGCAAGACTCTTGCTATCTGAGTTGCTGTCTGTCCCACTGAGTTACATTATGTCCCCTAACTGGGAGATTTATCATCTGACGGCAATGATCATGCCAGCTTCCCGGTCAGTAACAGTTGTCTCAAGAAGAAACATTTGGGATGAAAGCCAAAAACAAGTGGGTACTAATGGGGTCTAGGTCAGTGGTCTTCAAATTCGCATATTTTTTAAGTTCACAGAAAAGTTTTCATTGTAAATTAAAATAATTGTGAAAGATAAAGTGCATAGCCCATCCTAAACATTGACATTTTAAAATAAAACTATTAAGTCACTTAAAAATATATAGCCAATGGGTAACCCAAACACCTTAACAAATCGATACTTGCTTTGATCTTTTAAAAAAATACATAAACTCTTCTCTAATAGACCATTTATTTCATTCCTTTTGCTTCTTGAACTCTTATTCCACTCCACTTCCGCCCTAGAATCTTACCCTGCTGTAATGTATTTTGTGTTTGAAAGCAACTTATTGATCACTTCATTATACCTTGTTGAAACTCTTTTAGTATATTAATTGAAATTAATTTTTAAACATGTTATGTGACCCTAAGTGTTGAGTTATCACAATTATTTTTAGTACACAATTGCTCAAAGCAATAAATACATTACAAATGTTAATAATTACTTAACACAAAAAGTAAATTCTTTGGAATTGTAACTTAATGAGATAAATGTGACTGTTCTGTTTGCAATTAATTTATGTATTCAGTTTTAAGTGTTATTATTTTTGGAACGGGACTGCATTCAGCATCAATTTTTTTTCTGTTTCTCATGTTTATTTTTCAATTTATAGATGCTAATGTTAAGCAAACTTGTTCACATAAATAAGTAGATGTGAATGAAAGGAGTTAAGCGTGGCGTTGTCATTCAAGACTTTGAACTCTTCCTGAGTTATACGCCAAAAATTACAAGGTGATTTTTATGATTGAGCAGCTGACAGCTTGGCTGGGTTAGTCTTTTGATTTTATTGAAAGGAAATAATTAGATGATACGTCATCCAGTTATTGAGTTATTCCCTAACTCATTTTTGGAAGAGTATACTGAAAAGCTACATCTTAACAAATGACTATTAAATTACATCGGTTGCTCTTTTACTTGGAAGAAACTTGTTTGATATTTTTTCCAGTTTTATTGAGGAATAATTGACATGCATCACGGTATAAGTTGAAGACATACGGCATGATGGTTTGATTTACATACATTGTGAAAGATTGCCACAATAGATTCAGCTAACATCCATCTTCTCTCATAGATACAAATCAAACGTTTACTATGCATTTAATGAGAGAGAAAGTTCTACGTGCTGAAAATTAATTGGTCTGGCAAGCCAGCATATACTGCCACGTATCGTTACATATTTTACAATATAGATAAAATGAGGACTGGCTGTATTGGATTAAATATTTCATAATATGTTTGTGTTAAAAAAAATAAGACTTAAGTACCTGATTGATGAATACAAAATCCGAAGGAAAAAAATAACAAAATTTTTATGTACCAGTTTTACCCAGTGAATCTTTCAAATTTGCTAGTCTCAGAAAAGATTCCGGTTCTATTCAAAAGAATCAGCATTGCTGCCCTGTACCTGTTCAGAGATGCTTTTCTTTCTAGCTAATGACATGTCTTAGGGATTTTTTTTTTTAAGCTGAAAGAAATGTTTAAATATGTGGTGGAGTCATTTGAAGCACTCTATATTCTCTGCTCTCTTCTCAGAGGCTTCCCCCCCTAAAGGGGGCTGAACATTCTGTAATTGTTAGGAAATGAAAAACTAAACATTACTCTTAGCCACAGCACTCTACAATGTACTGAAATTCAGGACATCCCCACACAGACCACATGCCCTGGTTAGATCAATGCATTCCCTCCGCCATCCCCCTTCCCTACCCCCTCCTCACCCTCTCAGACCTGCAAAGGGAAGTCCAAGGTAAGGGTATGGAATTTGGATTACAAGGTGCCTTCCCTGAAACCACGTAACAAAGTTTCCCTTCATGAAGCACCCCTCTCACCGTTGGAGGCTTATACCCAGAGGTGTACCGGCACCTATGTAGCCTCTGACCATGACACGAGGATGAGAGAAAGATGGGGGACAGAAAGTACCTGCGTAGGTATGGAGGTTTGTTCTCAGGCAGAGGCATGTTAAGAAAGAGTACACTGAGAGATGGAGATCTGAAAATCAGCTCCTTTAAAGCTATCTGTGCTGTGTTGCCTTTGGAAAATCTTCATGTGCCTTTGATTACTTCAGTTTCATTCAGGACCACAGTCCTACCTGAGCCTACACATCGGAATGACAAGTCAAATAGTCCATCATCCAGATGTATCCCACTTTCCAGATGTTTGGTTTCTTATAGACAAGTACCTAGGCTGTCTTTAAAGAAACCCAGGCTTCTTTAAGTCCAACCCAGTCTTCTTTAAAGAAAAAGCCAATATGAAATATTTCAGACGTTACACAAAAGAATATACAATGAATCCCTAGCCATTATCCAAATACAATAATCAACACATGGACACTCTTTATGTATACCTTCTACCCAGCCTTCCTGCTGGATAATGCTGAAGCAAATTCCAGGCATTTTATCATTTTAATTCCAAATATTGTTTTTATGTATCTTTGAAAGATAAGGACTCCTTGGGCGCCTGGGTGGCTCAGATGGTTAAGCGTCTGCCTTCGGCTCAGGTCATGATCCCAGGGTCCTGGAATCAAGTCCCGCATTGGGCTCCCTGCTCCTTGGGAGCCTGCTTCTCCCTCTGCTTCTCTCTCTCTCTCTCTGTCTGTCATGAATAAATAAATAAAATCTTTAAAAAAAGAGTTTAAAAAAAAGATAAGGACTCCTTAAAAATATGCAATACCATTGTCTCAGCTCAAAAAGAAATAATTCCTTAGTATCAAATGGCCAATCAGCAATCAAATTTTCCCTAATGTCTCATAATTAAAAAAAAACAACAACAACAACCAGTCTGTTAGAAATTAAATCCAAATGTGTTCTGCACGTTGCTCTTGGTTATTGTTTTTTAACCTCATTTAATCTGTAAGTTCCCCTTCTTTTTCTTTTCTAAGAATTTCTTTGTTGAAGAAACAGATTGTTGTTCTGGATTTTTCTGATTTCACCCCCATTGTGTTGTTTAAAATATTCCTCTTTTCATGTATTTTCTGTAATCTACTATTTCAAAGGCTTCATCTGGTTCAAGCTGGGTGTTTTGACAAAAATATTTAATAGGTGTTGTGTATGTCTATCCAGGGCACATGATAGCTGATGAACCCTATTCTTGAACTGTGAGTAGGATCATTGCCTGGATGCATGGTTTCATTAGGGCCTTGAAAACTAGTGATATCCCAGTTCTTCTGTATCTTCCTTTTATTAACTGGAACACTTCCATAGAGAAACATTTCTTCACCAGGTGTTTGGTTACATTGAGTGCTGTGTATAGAGGAGAGTACCAGCTCTTTAAAAAAATTAATTAAAAAAATTATTGAATTTCAGATGGCTGTTCTTTTAAATTCCATTTTAGGCTTCCCATACTTTTGTGAAGAGCCATTCTAAGATACAGGATTGTTTCTTTTCAAGGGAATCTGGAAATTAAATTATTTCTGGCACCAAGTCTTGAACCAGCCAATCTTTAAAAAAAAAGTAATAAGCAAAATTATTTGACATGTGTCCTGCTGTGAGATTTGGTATTTAATCCCTTATTCTGATTTCCACTATCTTTTGTCATAGCCAAAAAAGTATCAGAAGACTAGGATATACATATTCACTTAGTGACCCTATTCCCAATCAGACACAGTACAATGATGAGTATGTCTGGAAAACATATTCTAAAGAAGATTGGATCAAAAACGGGACTTCAGGAGGAATCAGGAGACACAAATCTCACCCCAGTCAAGTAAGATAATATCTACATATCTATTGAATTTAATACTGTACCAGTAATCCATAAGAATGAGAGTTTGAGTATATCCCAAAAATCCTTCATCTGTAGTTATGGTCCTTCTTATACTATGTTTTGTCTACTTTCTCACATTTATTTCTAACCACTTCTCCCTTATCCTTCAAAGTTTTAAAAAGATTTTAAAAAATTGAAATGAAATTCACAGGGCATAACATTAGCCTTTTTTTTTTATAAAGATTTTATTTATTTATTTCACAGAGAGAGACACAGCAAGAGAGGGAACACAGGAAGGGGGAGTGGGAGAAGGAGAAGCAGGCTTCCCGCGGAGCAGGGAGCCCGATGCAGGGCTCGATCCCAGGACCCTGGGATCATGACCTGAGCCCAAGGCAGATGCTTAACGACTGAGCCACCCAGGCGCCCCAACATCAACCATTTTAACATGAAGAATTCACTGACAATTAGTACATTCATAATGTTCTGGAACTACCATCTTTATCTCATCCCAAAACGTTTCCATCATACCAAAAGGAAACCCCACATCTATTAAGAAATTACTTCCTGGGGCGCCTGAGTGGCTCGGTCGTTGGGTGTCTGCCTTCGGCTCAGGTCATGGTCCCTGGGTCCTGGGATCGAGCCCCACATCGGGCTCCTCGCTCAGTGGAGAGCCTGGTTCTACCTCTCCCACTCCCCCTGCTTGTGTTGCCTCTCTTGCTGTCTCTCTCTGTGTCAAATGAATTAAAAAATCTTAAAAAAAAAAAAAGAAATAACTTCTTGCTTCCCTCTTCCCTAGCCTCTGGCAATTACCGATCTGCTCTCTGTCTCTGTGAATGTCTATGTGGATGTCTATGTGGATATTTTTTTATGGGCAATCATACAATATTGACCTTTTGTGTCTGGTTTCTTCACTTAGTATAGTGCTTTCAGTGCTCATCCACACTGTAGTTTCTATCAGTACTTCATTCTTTTTATGGTTCCCATTTAGGGTTGAATAATATTCTGTTGTACGTGTATACCACAGTTTGTTCATTCGTTTATTCACTGGTGGACATCGGAGTTGTTTCCAATTTTGGCTATTGTCAGTAATGCTGGCACTCACGAGTATTTATGTTTGGCAGTATGCATTCTCAAACTCCCAGATCTTTTGTCATTTTGTTTACTTTATCTAGAATCCCTCTCCTGTCCACCAGGGAAATTTATACATTCTTTAAGACGCAGCTTAAAGAGAGCTATCTCTAATTTTGCTTCTCCTCTAGATGGAAGTAACTGATATTCCCTCTGTGTCCTTGGCACTGTATAGCCTTCTCCCACCATAGAAAGCAATGCTCAATTGTAGTAAAGGATTTCATTTACTTGGCTTTGCCCTGGCATGGTGCCATGTGGGGTGGAGCCACCTGGATGCATTCAATAGATCATAAGGTGGTAGAATGGGCAGGAATTGGTGACTGAAAAGATATAAAGGACAAGGGAGAGGAAAGAATGAAGGATGATGTTTCCGTTTTTGACTTGGACATCTGGGTGTACGCTGCTGCTGTTTCCTGTGCCGGAACGTGAGAAGGACCAGGTTTGGTGGGAAAGGGCGTGGGAGAAATGTGAGTTCAGCTGAAGACATATTGGTTGAAAATATGTCCAACAAGCAGTTGCATATACAGGTCTGGAGTTTGTGTGGAAGAGGAGAGCTGTAGATGTAGACTTGGGAATCATTAGAACATACATACCGCATTTAACTTGGTTCCTCATGGCACCCATTTATTTTAATGAATGTACCCCTTAAATATTTGCCTTAAGATTTTAAATTAATGAAAAGCAATTAGTTACAGTATTATACTGTGCATGTGTACATACACACACACATATACACACAAAGCATTTATTTTCCCCTCAGGTGTGTTGAAGGTTCCCAGCCAACGAAAGCTAGGGTGGTAGGGTGTCCTGTGCATTCTCAGCCGACGAGCGGTAGTGAGGCAGACTGCCCTGTGTGCTTTCAACCAAAGGGTTCCACACCAGGCTGAAGCCGCTCCAGCATGTGAATGCTCCTCCCCTCGACCTGAGTTGAGGGTGTGCTGCATTGTTTACTCTGCTGACCCCTCTTGCTCTGCCATTTATTGTTTCTGTTGAATGGTTTTGACTATGGCACAGGGCCTGAACTAGGATGAGACTAGCAAGATGCTCCTTCTCTGCTAACAGAGAGGATCTGCTGCTAAAGAACAGTTGCCCTGGGAGTTAAAATGTAGAGCTAGTGGTTTCCTTCAAGGAAAGGGTGGTGGGAAACAAGGGCCGGCTGATATTTGGTGACAATTATGCTGCATCCAGGTGTGGGCAGTCAGGTAGAAACTGAGACTGGATGAGATCATCAAGCTAGAAAAGAGGTTCGAGGACTGAACCTTGAGGCACTTCACCATTAAAAGGCCAGAGGAAGAAGCAGCAAAAGGGACTGAAAAGGGGCAGCCAGTTGTGAAGGATAAAACCCAACATAGTGTGTTGTACTGGAAGCCAAGTGAAGAAAGTGAAGAAAAAGGACTGACCACTGGGTGAAACGCTGCTGGCAGGTCAAAGAAGATGAGGATAGGGTTGGCCATTGACTTTAGCAGAATAGAGTTCCTTGGTTGCCTTGACAAGAGCAGTTGTGGTGAAAGAAAGCTTGATTAGTGCGAGATGGAGGGCTTCTTGGAGAACTGGCTAAGTCCAGATCTGGGGTGGGAAATGTGCAAGATGAATCTGGAAACATCATGTCATGCCACATAGGGAAAAATCCCATAAAAAACTACTAGAGTTATATTAAAATTAAAGAGGTGCCCACAGGCTAAAAATGATTTGAGCTTCTATATGGATAATGTATGCAATAGATTGAAACACACCAAATATGCTTAGATCTGTGAGTTCTGTAAAAAAAAAAAACTGGGGACACTTTGAGAGGATAAGAAACCAATTCATTATCTTAAAAACTGACAAAGGGGGGAAAATCAAGCTTTTTTTTCTGCCTTATCTATATGAACTATGCCACTGGTAAGCTAAATGGTAGATGAGGGAAGTGTGTCTTTATAAGCATATTTTAGCTAACAAATGAAAAAGAAATGATGGAATGTCACCCCTTTGCATCCATTAATCTAGGCATTAAGCATCGACAGCTGCTAACATCACACAAAGAGAAAAAGCTGTATGTTATGATCCTCCTTGCCAAACACAGTCTTGCCAAAGGGATCTATTCTGAGTGTAAGTCAGTCTCTGGATCTAGCTGCCAACTGCAGGAAATACAGGGAACAGGGGAACTTGTTAACCTGCACAATGAGTATGCATTCCACACAATCCGGAGTGTGGGAACCTCTACACGCCAAATGGCTTGGTTTCTTCAATAGATTATAAGGGAAAGAAGGGGATGGAGAGGGGCCCTGAAGATTAAAAGACACTTAAAAGACACATTTTGGGAACAGGGAATATGTGTAACTATTTTGGGGAATTTTAATATAAAGGCAGACTGAGAAATATCTTAATAACTAGAGGGGAAAGTAGAATAAAGAGAGAGTTTTCTCTTCTAAGAGAAATGGAGGCAAGCTTGGGTATTGACGACCATGACCCCAAAGAGAGGGAGAAATGGAAGTTGCAAGAGAGATGTGAGAATTTTGGGGGTCATGGGCCAGAGTAGACTAAAGGCAGGGGGCTGTGGCGTACCAGATGTGGTGGGCCCTGCTAGGAGCACCTGCCACTCCATTCCCATCACAGCATAAGTGAGTGCAGATGTGGTGGCTGGGTGGCAGTGTGGTAGGCTATGTATGGAGGTTCTCATCAGATGGCTTCAGTTTTCTCAGGGAAATAGGAAGCAAGGTTATGAGAGAGTGGGAAGGTGGAAAGAGGTCCTGAAGGTTTCAAGTTTCATAATCATAAAGTTCCTTTGCAGGCAAAGAGGAGAAAGGGCCTGCCCTCCCCCTCCTACAGGCTGATTCTGAGGCCTCTCCATGGGAGGCAGGGTATCTCTCAAAGCTTGGGGCTCTGAGTGGAAGCAGCAGCTGTCTGCTTGGGCACTTAGAGCCAGAGTTAGCATGGGTCTTCTCCTCTGGTCTTGGCTGGAGATTTTTGGTTGCAGGTACAACTCTGGATTTTGCAGTCACATTTTCTTGTCTCAATATGAAAAGTCAAAGAAATTACAAAGTACTTGTGTTACAGCCGGGTAAACTGATGGTTCCTGTTGACAGGCTCCTGCATACATTGCAGTGTGGTAGCTGGGTGTAAAGGACCCAGAAGAATATGTACACGCAGACACAGAGAGTCTTCCTTCCATTAGGGGAACCCATGTGGAGTTTCTTAAAAATTGTGTTTGTATTGATAGGACTTCTTTCTCTGGACACTACCTCAAGGTCAACCAGCAGCATCAATTAAGAGCTACCTCCCTTGGAAAATCGCTACAGAGGAAAAGGTTAGGAAGGCAATATCAAATCAGTTTATTTCCAATACTAGAAGAGACTTTGTGGACAGAGCAAAAGGTAAACATGTTCATTTTTCTCCTTTTCCTGGTTATGTGTTGTACATTGGAGTTGCAATGGTAAACAGCACAGATGCAGTCTCTTCTCTCAAGGAACTCACAGTATAGACACAGGAAAAGGCAATTTGGCAAACAAAGACAGTCAGGGATGAAAAGGTGGACCATGTGGGAAATGCTGTGGGTGCATGCTGTAGGACATGTAGCCTAAAGGAAAGGCCTTCCTGGCCTGAAAAATGAGGATGAAAGAACATGACAAAGATCAAGGGGTCAAGTTAAACATGCTGTTTCCAATTATTGCTATATTTATTTATTTTTAAATTTTATTATGTTATGTTAGTCACCATACAATACATCACTAGTTTTTGTTGTAGTGTTCCACGATTCATTGTTTTCGTATAACACCCAGTGCTCCATGCAGTACACGCCCTCTTTAATACCCATCCCCCCACCCCCTGCCCTCTAGAACTCTCAGTTTGTTTCTCAGAGTCCATAGTCTCTCATGGTTCATCTCTATTGCTATTTTTTAAAAATTAAAACTTACTTTTATTAAACTAATGCATGCATACAGTGAAATCAAATAGTAACATAAGGGCTTATTACAAAATAACAGCAGTTCTTTGACCCCATTGGTAATCAACTCAATCCTTTCAACTGTTTCTTATGTAATCCTCCATATTTTAAAATAATATGCATATACTGCTATTTTTGATTCATCAATTTTAGACATTATTATTGACTTCCTGCTTTGGTGGTTGAGGATTTGGCTCTCTTGTAACTCTTTCTCACACCCCTTCCATCCATTTTCTCAATAATTATATTACAAATTCTTGTTTAATTCAATTGCTAATGTTTATATTGTGATGATATGATGATATGATTATGTGAACATTCACTGCTGAGCCAGGTGGTGTGGTGATTTTATGATTGTTTCCTTTCCTTTTTGTTTTTTTGTTTTGTTTTGTTTTGTTTTTTTACCAGAGTTAATAATTGAAATTTTTTTTCATATGCTTAATCTTATATGTTCCTGTCACTAATCTTTTCCAAATACTTTGTCACATACTTACCAGGATTTTTTCCAAACACGGTTTCAAACACTCTACCACTTCCAGTATTTTTCCCAGAGATGATCTTTCTGACACCCTTCATCATTCTCCTCTAATCTAGACTGATTTTTCTGTGGATTTGCTGCCCAACAGTGCCGTGGGACTTCCTTTTTCATCATTCTGGGAATTGCTTTGGCCTCTGCCTGCCTGCGTTGGATCTTGTTTCCTCTTCCTCTTTCTTGTCCCTCTTCCCTGGTTTTGCTGAAGCACATCTTCCAGTAGTTTCCTAAGAAAGAGTACATGGGAGGAACTTTTTTGAATGTGTTCTTTCCTATTTGGAAATGTCCTTTTTTTCTTCCTTGCTCTTGTCTGATAGTTTGGCTGGATATAAAATTCTAGGATTGATAATCACTTTCCCTTAGAATCCATTCCTCCAAATGTCTTCTAACATCCAGAATTTATTTGTCGAAGACTGATGCCATTTTGGTTCCTGACCCTGTTGTATTTTTTTTTTTTTCTGGAAGCGTTTAAGATCCTTTCTTTATTCCTGACATCCTAAATTTCACAGCTGTATGCATTAGTAAGAACCTTTTGTCATTGATTATGTTGGACATTCAGGGGCTCTAGAAGCTAGAGTCATGTCCTTCAATTCTGGGCATTGTTTCCTGCATAGTTCCTTCCTACTTTTTTCCCATCTCTTTTCTCTGTTCTCTTCTGGCACTCCTATTAGTTGGATTGATCCTCCAATTTTCTTACCTTTTCTCTCCTAGTATCTTTCTTTTTGTATTTTTCTTTTGCTAACTTGAAAAATTCTTTACCTTTTAATGTAGCTCTTCTATTGAATTTTTAATGTCCAAGCTCTTGTTCTTCCTCTTGTTAATTTTTTTTGTTTGAAGAATAAAATTAATAAGCATATTTACTGCAATATATAGACCCCTGCCCTCAACATGATTTTTTTTTAAACAGCATTCTGTTCTTGTTTTATACATGTAGTAATTCTCTTACAAATTTTAGGATATTTATGATATATTTAATTTTCAACATTTTCATCTATTCCTTGCTTGTCTCTATTTTCTCTGAGCATTTTAATGGTCTAATGAAAATTTGGTCTTTTCATATTTACAAGAGAGTAGAGGCAGATTTACTACACGCTAATAAAACTTGTCTCAATTCTGTGGACACTTCTTTTTCTTGAAGTGAGAGTATGCAAAATATTAATCTTTAAGGTTCACAAGACCTACAAGGGAGATACTCAAATCTGATTGGAAGCTACATACAGAGATGGGGTTTGTTAGCTGGTGCTTGATTTAGGTGGTTAGTTGATAAGCTCTCTTTTTGTTGGGAAACCCCCAAATGCCTGTATTTAAAGGTCAGTTTCTTCAGGGAGATAAACACTTGGCTGTTGGCATTCTGAGAGCAGGATTGGGGAGGTAACTGGGATCTTCCTGCATGCTGTGCAGATTCTCACTGAACCCTTCTTTTTCCTGTTCAGCATCCCACTACACCTACCTTCCACTGTGCCTGACATCCTGGCATCCAGAGCTTCTTTGGTTCAGTTTTGCACCTAATAAACTTCTGGTTAGGAAAGGATGGCCAAATGACTGCATGAAGTTAAGAGGATGGTGCAGGAACTCTATTCACTCTGTATATAAGCTTTCACCCAAGCCTCTTGTTTTCAGCCTGAGCTGCAGTACCTGCCTTCCCCTGTACCTGTTACAGAAGCCTGTTGACATTCTATAGTATAGATTAGCTCACTGTTTTGTTATCCCCTTCGGCAGTCACTTAGTTTTAGCTTCCTCTACTTTGTTAATTCATTTGGCACATTTGTGTTTGATTTCCATCTTCTAAAAATGTGTTAACCTCTAATATACTATCATTCTGGTGAAATTTGGGGAAGGAGGAGCCAAATACGGTATAGATGATCTTTTATGAATCTAAACTGGATCATATTATTTTATTGTTTTATTTCACTGGCTTTGCATTGCACTTTGAATAAAATCCAAGTTTCAGTTCCTTCTCTCTGTTCATAATGTCCTGCAAGGCTGGTCTAGACTTTGCTTCCCTCCTCACCGTTCCTTCACACTCCATCCCCCTCATTCACCAGGCTCTGGCCACATGGGCCTTTTTTTAAATCCTATAGGTTGCCATTTTTTCCCCCCACCTTCAGCCAGTGTGCAGGCTGTCCCTTTGGCCTGCATTGTTCTTCTCCCAGCTCCTTCTGTGATTTTACTGTGTCATTTTATAGACTCCAGCTTAAATGTCACCTTACCTATGAGAGCTTTCCTTACTATTTTGTCTGAAGAGGTGTGCCACCACCTCATTTGTTACCTTCTAGGGCCTTGCATTTTCAGTTGTTTGTTTACTGATTCTTGTTTGTTGTTTTTGTTTTGCTCTTTCCTTCACTATTCAGTGGGTGCCCCAAAGGCCTTTATTCACTCAGAATCTAGTGCAAAATATATAATCTAGTCCTGGTGTAGAGGAGATGCTCTGTAAATATTTGCTGAATGATGGAAAAAATATATGGGAAGTACACTTTTTGAAGTTAGGTGAGTACAGAATCAAAGACCTCCATACTTCAGATAAACATTAAGGGTGATGGGAAGACATTTGAAATGTCAGCATTCTTAAAAGATGTCTTCGAGCTTCTAATCAAAGTCCTTTCAGTGTGCACAAATTACCATTTCCCCATGTGTAGATAAATACCCAAGACCTGCCAAGAGTCTCTCCTAAATCTCTTAGCTCCATCTGCTTCTCTTCCTCCCCAAAGCCACTGCTACCCGTGTCTCCACCTTGGATGACCTCTAATCCAGCTCCCTTTTCCAGTTTTGTCACCTCCAATCCACAGCCCATCCTATAGTCATAGCGAGTTTCCAGATGTGCAAATTGATATCACCTTCCAGCTGAAAACCCTTCAGTGACTCCCCATTGTCCTCAGGATAAAAGCTAAATGCCTTAATGTGAGTCTGTGCAATCTGGTTCCTGCCTGCCATGCCAGCATTCTCCCTTGCCACCCCCCACACGCTCCATGAGACCCACTGCCCTCCTTCCTCCGGACTCACCATGCCTCTGGCAGCCTTGTGCCTTTTGCACACACTGCCTTCCTATGGAACACCTGTCCGTCCCTTCTTTTAGCCTATGTCTACCCGTAAGTTACGTCTAAATATAGGCTTCATTTCTCTCCTGGGAATCTTCTCTGATCCTCTGATCCTCCAAGACCTTATTCTAATCTCTTTTACAGCGTTTATCATCTAATATTGTAATTCTCTTTTTATTGCACCTGTTTCTCTAATGCTTTAAGCTTCTGAAACACAGGGACCGTATCTTATCTTTGTATCCTTATTATGGTATTAAGGCAATTGAGTGAGAAGCACTGAAGGGTGCTCGTTTCACATTCAGACTTGGAGAACTTGGCTTTGATGAACTGGGACAGCAGAACTAGTTCTCACTTGACTGTAGATTATGGGGTCCCGGTGGTTTGGAACATTCCTTGCTGTAGATGTACTTTTGAACTGGGCCTTTCTACAAATGCCACACTAATCTTTAATGGGCCAGTTTCTCTCTTTGGGTTATAGCTACTTTAGTGTAGTATCACTGTTATCAAGAGGAAAAGAAACAGTGGGAAGTGAGCTCCTGAGGAACAGGGATGGCTCCCTGGGAGGAGTCCAGGCCTTGGAGGTGCTGTTAGCACTGGGTCTCTTTAGCTCTGGGTCATGGTTATCCTGTCTGTCCAAACTTCAGTACCACTATGGGGACTTCAGGAGTTGGTTGGATCCTTTGTATCAAGAACTTTTCTTCTTAATAATGCTGAAGGAACTCATTAACATGAAATTTTATAAAGGCAATAAAAACATTAGTTGAGAAGAGCTAAAGATTACTGTAAACATATATCACATAGTCACTAGAGTGTGGTTCAGATTATTCTTGATTTTTTCTTTCACTCCCTCCTTAATTTGATAAACATTTAATGAGGTCTGTTACTGTAACAAGTGCTAAGGTAACAATGAAGAGTAAGACAATATTTATCCTCAAAGGAACTCAGCAAGTCTAGGCCCTGATTTTTGTCTTTTCTGGGTCTTCAGCTCCAGTTGCTCCACTATGCTGGTTCATCATGCTCTACGTGGACCAGCCCCTCAAGACGCTTTGCAAACTGGTTCCTCACCTCTCCTGCTTCACCCTCAGCTACTTCTCCCTGCCCTGCATATCTCATACTCCTGCCAGCCAGACCATACTTCAAAAACACACTGCGCACCTTTTGCTTCAGTGTTGACACATCATCAAAGCACATCCTTTGCTATGTCTGCCTTTTAATTCTTGTCTTCCTTACCTCCCCTAACAGAGCTCGTTGTATGCTCTCTGGCCTTCTGTAGCACCTATTGAAGGCTCTGAGGGAGTGATTCTTAAGCCTATGGGAAGCTTGTTCTCAGTGTAAGTGCCTGGGCCCCACTTCTAGAGCTTCTCAATGTCTGGGATGAGGTTCAGCAAATATGTTTTGTAAAAACCTTCCTTGGTAAGTCTGATGCATTATGGTTTCAAGTGTTAGGGTTACAAGACATCACATTCCATATCTGTTTGTCCTGTACGTATCTTTCTCATCACACTAGGGTGGGGTTGTATCAAGGTAGAACAATGACTACATTATATTTAATTTTGGCACAGAACACGTATAGGAACTGAAAACATTTGTTGAGTGGTAGCTCTAGGGAAGAAGGATAAGCATACATATCAAGTACTTCAACAGGAATTTGTTTTTCTCCTGTAAAGCTATTAGCAATTTACACAAACCAAGTTATAGACGGTGCTTACCAGGAACAATACCAGATGATTTTCCAAAGTATCTTAAGGGATGTCCCGATATTAAGCCCTAGAGTTGCCTCTTCTCTATAACCTTGTCTTCTCCTTGGGCAGTGTATGAGGTCATTATGAGGCCCATTGAATATCACGTCCTCTTTTCCTGAGTCATCTAAATGAAGAGGCAGCATGTAGTGAAACTTTCTCTCACTCTTCTGGTCTAGACAGAAATCTTTTTTTTTAAAATCAATATTAAAATGCTCTTGGATGTCAGTAGATAACATGATATATTGTCTGATGTACATTTGAATTTATTTTGAAAAGACCTATTGAAAAATGAATTCAGAACAAGATTCAAGTTTAGTTTCAACAGTAATTGGCACTGTTTGGATATAGTGCATGAGATCCATGTCTTTAACACTTTTGTCCTGAATAAAGTTGGTGTTATATGATGTGCCTCTGAACCAACACTTGATGGCAAGGATTAAGGATGAACTCATTCTGAGGGAGATGGCTTGCAAGTCCTCTATTATCTGGTAGTGCTTGTGGAAACTGGCATTCAGTCAGTGCTTCATAGATATTCAATGATTATATATTTAATGACTAGTTGTTAGCAGCGTGATTTCAAGGAAATAATAGTGCTATTGTCCACCAATGACAACAATGTTACCTAACCCTCCAACAGTAAGGGATAAGCTTCAAGTGGTTCTTTGCCAGGTAACGGAAAATTAATGATATGCACTGTCCCATCTAGGGCTGCCAGATTTAACAAATAAAAATATAGGATGGCCTGTTAAATTTGAATAATTATATATAGTAGATAAACAATGAGCACTTATATACACTTATACCAAGAAATTATTCATTATTTATCTGAAATTCATATTTAACTGGCATCTTATGTTTTATATGTCAACCCTAGCCTTATCTAAAATCTCTCACTCTGCTCCCCACCCCTGCCCCAGGGACTAGGCAGGCCTACTGGAAAGAGGAATGCCTTCTGTGTCACCCAGCAGAGCAAAAGAGCCCCCCTAACTGATATAGGATATCTTCGTTAGAAGCTGCTTCTATCATTGGAGCATATACTTCCTGTGTCTGATAAAGCAGAAAGTTATTTCTTGGTTGAAATATCCATAAAACCTACATTGATTGTACCTCTAAATACAAGAAGAGCAGGTTTAGTGTGATCAATTGGAAGGTACTGCCAGAAACAAAATGGGAAAATAGGATGTTATTTTAAATAGCTTACAAGGACTTCTGCATTTGTAACCCCACCCCAGCTCAGAAGATTAAGGAAAGTTCTCCCATGTCTCTGGAACGGAAAAAGTTACTTCCCCGACCTACAGACACTGAATTTCGACGGAATTACCAAGTTCCAGCTAAAATTCCCGAGTTGCAGGATTTTAGTTTCAAATATGGATGCTACTCAAGCCTACCAGTTGCTTCTCAGGGTCTAGGTAAGTACACCTGTAGCTTTTAAAGCAACTTCATAGATTCTGTCCTTGTTCCAAGATTCTTCGGCACACGGGGCCCTGGCAGGTAATCTTGGTAACGGTTATGAAGAATGCCAGCAATCCCTGCATCCCTGCAAGGAATCAAAACTATGCCTAGCTTCAAACCAGGGAATGAGTAAGCCTTGGAAAAGAACTGATTGCTTATGCTATGAAATGAGTACCTGCTCTGCCTGGCAGAGGGGGAGGGGAAGGTGGGGTAATGGGCAAGGGTGGAAGCAGTTGTTGGGATTGGCAGACACTTCCCCTTTATAAAACAAAAGGAAGGACTTAGTTGCTATCAAATGACCAAAAAAGAGACTGGGTAAGACTCACATTAGATTTGTCAATTATCCACTGGGAGCTTAACCACATGGTATATCCATCAAGCATCTTCAAATTTGACAACCATTCTATTCAAGTGATCTTTTATGATCCTGATTCCTATTGTTTTCAACAAAAAAGTTTTTAGAGGTTCCATGGCCAAGCCACCTCGACGCTACTGGTTAAGAGTATAATTTGGTGTCAGTCTGAGATAGTGATCTATTCCTGGCACGGAGTTGGAATCAAGTAGCGCTGCAGACAAAAATCACGGGATGGAAACTTAGCATCTCGAGGTTAGGAGACAGCCTAGAAGTCACCTCGTCTAGACCCTCACACCATGTGGGAATCCCCTCTATCCCGTCCTTGCCAAGGGGTGATGTCGTCACTCTTTGGGGGAGTGCCCCCCCAAGGCGACTCTTTCATTTTTGGATACTGTTGGAAAGTTCTCAACATCTGGAAACTCTCTTTGGCATAAACTTTGGCTTTGGTTCTACTTCTTCTTACGGAGGTTAACTGGTATAAATTATCCTATGAAAATCTTACTACATATCTTCCATATTCTCTTCTTAAAACCTTTCCAGACCTTATAAGCACTCTTCTCGGGATGTAGCATCAAAGTGCCCTCACCAGTCTCTTCCTCCCACCGGCTGGTGGTCCCTGTAAAGGGGACACCTGGAACCAAAAGCAGTATTTAAGGTGTCCTTAAGATTTACAAAGATTGGGCGTGTTGTAGAAATTAGGTCCTCACATCATGTTTTCATTGCTTTTTTTTTTGTCATGATAATTCCATGGCTATCAGAACCCACATTAAACGAGCAATACTCAGAATCAAACATAAATGATTTAGGTTTTGCTTGCACCTGATACCCTTATTAGTCTGGACATGCAATGAGTGCTGGATGGACATATCATCACTGCTCATCTGCACTCACCTGGGTCCCTGAGGGACTCCTCAGTGTGTCAGCCCATGTCTGCACAGGAGATGGTATGAAAGGGAAAGAAGCTTCTGTGAAGGCATTTGTTTACTAAGGAGGTAGTGAGTGCTACTATCCCAACACGCTGACCTGCAGAAGAGTCGATTTCAGGGAGAACTTTTCTGAGAATGGTAGTCACACTTGAGTTTCTGGCCATCAGCCCCAGTCACCCCCACTGCTAGCAGCAACCGTCCTGAGTCGCAGCAGCTCTGCATAGCCTGGATCGTGGGAGGAGTTACTCCTACTGTGCCTCGCTTTCCAGTACCTCAAGGATGCTCATTAAGCTCCAAGTGGGGCTCATGGCTATTGGGAGCGCATTTGGCAAATAAGGGCAGAAATTCTTTGCTCAGTGACAGCCTCCATGTCTCTCCTTCCCCTGTGTCCCTCTAGTCCCTGCTGTGCTATACAGCCACATGAGGATTCAAGAACGCAAAAGGAAGCAGACTACATACCAAAGCGATTATGGAAAAGCCTATCTGGATTTCTTAACGATTTTAAACTCATTTACTCCCTCTCAAGTCACAGAGTACCTTCAGAGTGTTTCCTACAAAGGTAGGAGGAGGTCTTGAGTTACTATTGAATGAATTTACAGATCGTAACACATTGCTTTTTATGCCGAATAGAAATAATCCCAACATTTAGCTACTGGAGTTAAATGTTCACAAGAAGATAAACATTCCCTCAAAGAAATCCCATAGTTTTGTGTAAGCCTCAACCCACTGAAAAGAAATTTTTCTTAAAAGAGGCCCGAGGGACAGCAGCCCCGCTTATTAAAAAAGAAACATCTAGCCTTTCACTCCTTTCTGATCTCACTCATTTCGCTCCTTCAACCCGTGGTTGCATTTCTCCAGGATGATTTCTGGTTTTATTACAGTTAAGTGATTTCTTCTGTGGGTGTTTATGCTGTCTCACAGTTTTGTTTTATGCATAATCTTTATTTCCTGTCTGATGGTTCTTTTGGTGACAGGCTTTTTAGGGTACATGAGAATCTCTGTGTAGAACATCCGCCAAAAGAGCAAAGGCCTTTCTCAGGATGGTGTTAGTCATTCTGTGTAACAAAGACTTATCCCGGCTCCGGGCCTGGGCACTGGAATCTGCTTGGGAGCATTTCAGGGGCAACTGGTCAGTCTGTGCATGTGTAAGAGTCAACTCAGAGACTAGGAGGTGGAGGAGAGGAAACTCTGCCGCCCTCAGCATCCACTGCTAGTGATCACACTCCCTGTTACTCCCCATTTTTGAGCACATGGCCCAATGCAGACGTATTTATTTCTATAAAGTGTATTCATACGCCACTAAACTAGTGTATTATGTAAGTTATAAAACATACTAAATGCTGAAGACAGAAGTAAAAAGCGATACAAATGTTATAAGAACATAAATATGTAGACTATAAATATAGGTTCTAATATTTCTTCCCACACACCATGGACCATCTTATACCTGCCACTTGGTGCTTCAGGCTCTGTGGCGGTCACTGCCTTGTTTTGTGCCCTGTGGTCAGGCTTAACTTGGAACTTCCACCGGCTCCTTAGTAACCCTCCAACTGCTCCCTGCCTCCTGCCTGCCTTGGGTCCCCAATCTCTGTCCTTTGCCTGTCCCCAGCTACAGTCAGAAGAGCTAGGTCCTCTGAAATCCTCACCAAAACCCTGTTATGCTAGGATCTTGTGCCCCACATGAAACCGAAACCCTGCTGTAGGCAAGACCGGCGAGGGGGTGTGCACGTGTGTGTATGCGTGTGTAAGGAGGGAAAGGGGGTATTTTCCATGATGGCAGACTGAGGGTTGAAGACCCAAAGGCCCTTAAAAGAGCTCGAACGTTGGGTTGCAAGAAGCACCAGAAGCAGGTGTTTTGCCTCACTCTAAGGCACAGGCAGAAGGCCGTGTTTGCCACTGGGAGCCTCGTTCCTCTGAACAGCAGCTTCTGGGCCAGTGTGACACTTCAGAAGGAAACCAAGAGGCTCCTTGAGGTCGGCTGCTACTCAAATCTTCCCGGAAGGCAGAGCAGAAGCTACCCATCAAGCTCCAGCCTGCTTTCCATTCTTTTTCCCAGCTCAGGTTCATATATATAAAACTGCAGTCTGCATTTTGTAATGTGTTCTTTTCACCTTTGGAGCCACATCTGTTTGACCCTACAGAGTGCGCACAAAGCAGATGCTCCCATCTGCCCAGGGACTTGCAATACAGGTGGAGTTGTCGCTTCTCAGCCTGCATGGAAAAACCACGGTGGCTGCCGGCGCCTCTGTCCTTGGTTGTGTGTGTGATCTGTAATCGAGCATTAGTGGTGCCCCCCAAGGGTGAACTGAGGACTCGGCAGGTGCTTTGACATCCTCTGCTCTACTCAGAGCTACCTTCTCCAAGATTCCTAAGCCTAAGCTGATTCAGTTGGGCTTTTCCAGTTGAGTTTCCTCCCCAAACAAGTGACACATGATCTATTACCTAACAAGGTAGCTTTAGGGCCAATCTAGACCTTGGTTGCTTTTCAGGTCTCCTGCTTCCTAGTGCCTTAGGACGGCACTGCGGGCAGGTACCCAGATGCTCAGGCCCCAGAGCCTTGACATTCTGCACTGACTTGGACGTTTGTAGGATCTGCTTGCTATGGGTTTTAGTTTCTCTTTCCTAGTTTTGCTTGCGAATGACCTACTCATCAGCCAGCTATGCCAGAGGCTGACAAGCAAGTAGGAGGTTCCCTCTGAATTCTTATGCCCCAAAACTCTTGTCATTTTCTTGTCATTTAGTTGTCATTAATGTCTGGGATGACGCTAATGCTTTTCGGATGGTGAGTGTCTCAGCAGAGTTCATGTGTGGTAGGGCTGAGCCAGTATGCAAGAGAATAAAAAACTTGGCAGATATACTAGGCCGAATGAATTATTACTACCTTGCTTAAAGTATTTTACTGGATTATCCCTCTTTGGCAGTATTGGTACCCGTTCTGGTACATTTTGAAAAAGAGAGGGGAACATCATGGCCTAAATCAGAGGGCTAGGGAGATGGTGGGGTGAGGTTGGACGGAGCAGATTCCAGGAAGACACAAAATGAAGCTAGGGAAATAAGGAGGAGCAGCTTAAGACAAACCATTTGTTTCCAATAATTCTATGTTTTGCTATTTGGTATTGAGTTTCTCTATTATAACTTGAGAGATTTGAACTAAATGAATTTAGTGGCCATTTTGTTTTCAAAATTGTTTTAATCTCAAGTGACTCAGACCACCCAACAGCTTACTCTTTGGGCCTCTGTTATCTATTGGTAAAGACTGTCATCTCCCTACTTATCCACCCCCCCCTTAAAAGACAAAATTATCTGAACTCTGGTTTTCAGAATCTTTCAGCTATCACTTCCTCCCCATCTCTTCCAATCCAAACTCCCATGCATATGGCTATCCAAAGGGTATTTCTTCCTAGGCTGTGATTCGGTATTGTTAAGAATATATTCAGTGACTCAAGGAACTTCATTGACTGAATACCTGTAATGCTCACTTGATACAAAGAGAAATAAAAAACAAATCCTCTTTTTCAAAGAACTTGTCATCAGGTGTGGGAGACAGACACATAGGTAGAATGTGATAAACTCTGTAATTGAAATAGTCTTTGGGTATATTAGAAGCCTGCAAGAGGTACTCCCAACCCCCTGGATTAAAAGGGCATTAGGGAAGGCTGCTCCAAAACCTCTTTTAAAGGTCAAGGATGAATCAACATGATAAGCAGAAGCAGGGACATTCAGAGGGAGCAGAGGGAACAGCATAAGCAAAAACATGGGGACATGAATCTGCATCTATGCATAATAAATACAGGTAGCATTTGAATTACAACTGGTAGCCTTCTTGAACGGTTGTTTAAGTTGATATTAAATTTGATACCATCTCATCTTTTTTATTCATTCATGCTGAACTTGATTCATCTTATATGCTTGTCTTTGGCATAAGGAGTCCTTTTTTTATTCGTTTGCTTGCTTATTTAAAATTAATTCTTTGGTGTAAGATTTAAAATAGAGCTATTTTAGGCTTAAAATGACAAGGACTAAAACTAGCAAATGTTGAGAATATGGAGCAATCCATTGCTGATAGGCATATCAAATAATAGCATCACTGTAACATTTGTAACAGATCTGGCAGTTTCCCATAAAGTTAAACCTATATTTACCCCCAAGACCCAGAATTCTATTTTTGGGTATTTACCCAAGAGAAAAGAAAACATGTGTCCCCTGAAGGACTTATACAAAAATGTCCACAGCCGCTGTTTTCTTAATAGTCCCAAACTGGATACAACCCAAATTTCCACCAACAGCAAAATGTAAACAACCTGGCATACTCACAGAATGAAATGATGCTAGGTAATAAAAAAGAATCAGTTACCGTTGTAGTCAACAACATGAACTTCAAAAACATGATGCTGAGTGAAAGAAGCCAGACACAAAATCTTACATTTTGTGTGATTACGTTAATTCAAAGAGTTCCAACAGGGTACACTTCTCTGTGATGAAAGAAATCAGGACAGTGACTGTGTTGGGGTAGGAGTGGTGTTGACTGGAAAGGAGCATGACAGGTCTTTGTGGAGTGGTGGCAGTGATCTTATTATATGGGTACAGGTTACATGCACACAAGTATCAACCCATCGAACTGCTCATGAAAGACCAGGGTGTTTCACTGGTGAAAAGTATACCTCAATTTAAAACAATGTTAAGGTCAAAAAAGATATGGAGTAGGGTAGGGATGTTAGGTCACAAAAACAAAGAGCCATGAATAACTGGAGAGTAAGCCAGGACCACACACACACACACACACACACACACACACACACTCCTGATCTTTACATCTCAGCTGACATTTCTAACACTGAGCATGGTAACAGGGACATTGAACATGATAGCATGTACCGCTTGCATTCTTCTTTTCTTTTTTTTTTTTTGCTGCACGGATGACAATTGCTAGGAGTGAGAAAAAGTATACAGCTCTACTCTGTAATATTAAAAATATTATATTTTTATAATATATTTATTTATAATATATAATATAATATTAAAATATTATATATATGTAATGAGAATTAGGGAACTGTAGCTGTTCAGAACCAGACAAGATTCCTTTACTTTCCAGATGAGGAAATGGAGGCCAGGGAGCTGAAGGGCCCTCTGGTGGTCAGTTGTCAGTCAAAGATAGCAAAGCACACCAACAGTTGGTGGGCAGAAAAACAGCCCCCCACTTCGAAGAAACTCTGGGAACCCATAGCCTATATTGTTTTTTTGTCATCGCTATTTATCACTGTGTTCTCAGGAATAAAGGGTAAGGCTGTCCCATTTATTGTCTCTTATGGACCAGGCCCTGTCTAGGTGCTTCACACACAGCATTCCTAATCCAGTCCAACAACTGTGTAAGGTTAAGTCCTATTGTATGTATTCAAAGATGAGGAAATGAAGAATGGAGAGGTCACATGACTTACTAATGTTCACCAGGGCAGGACGGAAACCTAGGTCAGTTTCGTTCAAAACGACATGCTCTTTCCAGGAAGCCGTGCTGATCCTTTGAATATTAAGTTTACTCTTTTTTAATCAATAATTATACAATTGTGCCTTTTTTAAGTGTTAGACATATACCCTTTGATTATTTTGGTCTCATCAAATTTGTATATAGATTACTATTATCTGATACTTGCCTCCCTCCTAGAATTTCTCTATTTAGCACTTAAATAGTTAAATGGAAAATTTCATCCTGTTTTTCTTTGTAATTTTCAGACAGACAAATTCTCAATCGCTTTATCCGTTCTCACTGTGACTCTGGCATGGGACAGAAAAATAAAGGAAACAGTTGAAATGAAAAATATTGAAAATCAAAAAAAGCACTGGATCATTTCCTCAATAATGAAAAAAAATAAGATCCAAATTGTTCCAAATAATATATTCATGGCTCTGTGTAATTTTGTTTTGTCTTATTTTGTTTTTAAACGATAAAATCATTTAAAGCCATAAATCCTCCCCTCCCCCACCAATGTATCCCATAGGTCTTGCTCTAATGTTTTTTTCCTATTCTCTACTGGATACTTAATTTGTGGTTTCAATTTTGATTTCCTCTTTGACCCAGAAATTATGTGGAAGAGGCTTCTTAATTTTCCAATAATTAGAGGATTTTTAAAAAAACTTTTCATTGTTGACTTTCTGTTCAAAGTTTTTTTTAAAAAAATCTTTGTTTTGGGAAATTTAGCAAGGTTTTCTTTTATGCCAAGTATGTGATTAATTTGTATATTACATGAATATAAGAAGAGAAAAAATGTATAGTTTATTGTATTTCTCAAATCCCTTATATCTTTGCTATAATTGCATACTTGAACGGTCAAATTCTGAAAGAATAGTATTAAAAACATTCCACAGTAAAAATGTGTTCATCTGTGTTTTCTTGTATTTCTAGGGTTTCATATATATTTATATAATATATATTATGTATATATTTGTATATGTAAATAGATAATATATATAGCTGCTATGTTGTTTATCAGTGTTTATGACTCATACAAAGCTTTTTCAGTGATTAATTTTTTTCCCCCACTACATGCTATTCCTCTTTGACTTCATTAATAATTCTGGCCATGAATTGCATTTTAACTGATATTAAGGTTGCCATTCATGCTGGGTTTGTTTTTCTTTACCTTTTCTTGGTATATATTTGCCTTCCCTTAATTTCCAATCGTTCTTTGTAAATTTCTTTCAGTATGCTGCTAGAAATACCTTATGTTTGGGTTTTATATTATTACTAATACGAAAATTTAATTCATACACAATAATTATGAGGCTTGACATACTCGTTTATGATTTCCATATTATTTTTGTTATTCTTTGTTGTTCTTTTTAGTCTTACTTTCCCTACTTTTCTTTATTTTTTTTCTTGCGCTGTTAATTTTTTTGTTTGTTTGTTTTGAGAGAGAGAGTGCGCATTGAGAGCGTGAGTGGGGGAAGGAGAAGAGGGAGAGAGAAACTCAAGCAAACACCCTGTTGAGTGCAGAGCCTGACTTGGGGCTCGACTCACAACCCTGAGTTCATGACCCGAGCCAAAAATGAAGAGTTGGATGCTTAACCAACAAGCCACCTAGGCGCCCCATACACAGTTAATTTTTAAATTATACTATTTTTCTCTATACAAGCAGTTTTTAAAAAATCACACATGACCATTGTTACATACGGATTTCTCTATTAATATATAAAAATTACACATTCCTATGCCTCCTGTACCTTTTCCTTCATAATTCCTCCCTTCTCCACTAACTGAGAGATCTTTAATTTCCCATCCCATATTGTACTCCGTACTCCATCTCTGCATGCACACGGACACACACACTCACACGCACTTCCTTGCTCAGATAGTTTGGAATTTTTCCTTCAAGATTTTCTTCGGGCTTTCCTTACAATTTCCTGTCCTATTTAAAGAAGACCTAAGGCATATAAATTTTCAGCCACATCATCAGTATCATCCATTTATGTTTAACTATCACTTGTTCATGCATTCTCTTGTTTTCCCAAATGCTCAAATCCATGCTCTGACTTTTATTCAGTTAGAATAGTTTCTATGTATTTCCTCCCATGGGTTACAAGGGTGGGGACACGCTGAACCCTTACTTGTCCTAAAATATCATTCTTTTGCATTAAATGATATCTTGCCTGCGTGGAGAATTCTTGGAACTTCAATTTTCTCAATAGTCCACAGTCATTCCATTGTCTTTTGCTTGAGAGTATAGTTTGTAACTCAGATACTGGTCTGGCTCAATTACTGTCATAAGTGATTTGGGGTTTTTGGTTTTGTTTTTCTGGAAGTTTGTAAGATTGCCTCTTTACCTTTGTAGCATTTCAATAACTTTTTAAGGCTATATTCAGTTTCATTTGGAATTTTTCTTTAACTTCAGGTAATTTCTTTCATTTCATACTTTATTATGGCCTTTCTTCTCTATGTTACTCTCTATGATACTTTCTCTCCTTCTAAATATAATAATATTTGCAGCAGAGGCCTCCTGGATCTGTCCTTTGAGTCTTTTTGACTTTTTGTTTATAGTTTCCATTTTGTTCTTTTGGATAATTAATTAATTAATTAATTAATTTATTATGTTCAGTTAGCCAGCATATAGTACATCATAAGTTTTTGTTGTAGTGTTCAACAATTCATTCATTAGTTGCGTGTAACACCCAGGACCCATCCCACAGTTTCCATTTTGAAAAATGTTTTTGACTTCTGTTGAATATTTCTTCCTTTTGCCCACTCAGAACATCAGTTTGGTTCTTAGCAATGAATGTTCTGTTTATCCTATTTTAAAATCCAGGCATCAAATTTTATTTTACCATTAATTTTTGAAAGTCTTTTTTTTTCCCTCTATGATTGAATCTCCTTGAGAGTTTACTTCTGTTTTTGTTAAACGTATCCTTACCTTCTCCATTGACTCTGTCTTCACTGGAACCACCTTTTCTAATTACTGGGCTGGTCTCCTCCCTCAACATATGGAGAGCTCAAAGAGGATATCATGGGTTGTCTGTACCCTCAGCTAGGCTAGTCCTTTGGGGCCTCTGAGCCAAGAAAAATGAGCCTTAGGGGAAGGCTGGCCAGTGTTTGTTTCCTGGATGAGCAGCGAAGGGGCTGGGCTAATACAGAAGGGGTTCACTTGCTGCTGAAGTACATGCAAGAGTCCCATGCTCTCTCTGGACTCCTCCAAGAAGGGGATGGACAAATCCTCCTCAGCTGCACAGACGAGGAAAAGTTTATCCCACTGCTACAAACCCCTCCAGGTTGTATATGGTTATCAGGCTTGGGCAGCTTGTCTAACGAGAGGACAGGAAGGGCCATTCTGGAAGGCATATTCCCACATCTGCCCATCTGGACCTATCGGAGAAGCCTGAAATCTGAGATTCTTGCCGCGGGCTCCAGCGGAGTGCCGTCTCCCGCGGCTCTGTGCCTACTGCTCTATCATGGCACAGGGTCCAAGGAAAAGAAGATTTGTACCTACTCCAAATCTCTGAAGAATCTGTGGCTTCACACACAGCCCAGGCCGCTCTCAATAGTGTGCAGTTTGGTTGTTGTGAGGCACTGGAATGTGTCTGAAGCTCTAGAGGTTTGGAGTAGCTTCAGGGTTTCTCTGTCTCACTCCCTTCTCTGCTTCCCCGGAAGTCCTGTGCAGCATCTCGCCTCTGCTCCCTGCCCTGACTGGGCAACTGCCAGCAAGATTTGTATGGGGGTCGGGGGGGTGTGCAGCTTGACCACTAAGGTTTGTATGGATCTCTTATTTGGATCTGTTCCACTTTCCACTTTAATTTCGTATCGAAGCAGTAATGTCCCAGTGGTGTCTCTTTCTTTCGGATGGGTGATTTTCTACCTATGAGCTGATGTTTGCCCCACTTGAGCAGTTGTGGGCCAGTACCTGAACATCAAGCTGCTATTGATGCCTTTCTTGGAGGACTAGGGATTTAGCTGTGGCCAGCCAGTTATTTCACATGGATTCTTTCTTAGTTTAGTGTGTGTGGTGTGGGACTTCCTGACTATCCTCATGACACCCACTCCAAGGCATGGTCCACACTCCACTGGGATCTTGAGCCAAATATTAAACAAAGAATAGCCACTTCAGTCAATATTTATTGAACATCTACTATATGCCAAGCAGTGTTTTAGGTAATAGAAATACATTAGTAGTGAAAAGAAAGATATGGAGCATACATTCTAGAGAGAGGGACAGGTCATAAACAAGTAAAAATGAACAGTATTATTACAGAATATAAGCGCTACACAAAATATGAATGGTGCTGTGATAGAGAACAGTGAGAGGCTTCTATGGGGAAGGATAATTTAAACTGAGCCTTTAAGGGGAGAAAGAGCGGGGCGCCTGGGTGCCTCAGTTGGTTAAGTGTCTGATTCTTGATTTCTGCTCCAGTCATGATCTCAGGGTCGTGAGATCGAGCCCTGCGTTGGGCTCTGTGCTCAGCGGGGAGTGTGCTTGAGATTCTCTCTCCCTCTCCCTCTGTCCCTCCCCCAATCTATCTATCTCTCTAAAATAATAAATAAATCTTAAAAAAAAAAAAAAAGGAGGAGCAAGAGCAAGCCAGGTGAAGAGATGAGGCAATAGCTTTCCAGGCTTGGGAAATAGCTAAGCAAGGTCATTAAGGTGGGAAAAATCTTGAAGTGTTCTAGAAACTGGCAGAAAGCAGAGTGACTGACAAATGGGGAGTTGGCTGGGCACAGGGTGCAGAGGGACAGTCATAGAAAAGGAGGCCAAGGAGGCAAGGCTCAGATCATGCATGGCCTGAATGCCACTGATTCCAGGTAGCATGGACTCTGTTCTTGTTTCTGTGCTCCACATTACTTAATACGTTTCTATTGACTCAAGTTGTGGATCACTCATGAACATGGCTTGGTTGAATGCTAATCCTCCTCTTCAAACTTCACTGGAAAGCTTTGTCTAGGACTGGATTTCTTAGCCATTGCACACCACGTTGTAGATGCATCTTAAGGAGAAGGCTCCACACTCTGGGAGTCCCAAATTGGATCACTGACCTCCCTCCTAAATGATTTTTTCTTTTTTAATGTTTACAAAGTTTACTCTTTGTTCTGTGAAGTTCTATGGGTTTTGACACAAGCACAGAGTCATTATAGTATTGTGCAGAATAGTTTTACCACCCTAAAATATCACCTGGCCTTCACCTATTCCACCTGCCCTTGCTCTGCCCAAACCTCTCATTACTTCTTTTGGAAATGGTTTTGGCATTCTAAGGGCAGGAGGGCCAAGAAAAGCCAACAACAAATCTATTGCCTCGTGGGAGACAGCCTACAGCTGAGTCTTAACATCCATCTGCCTGCACAAAAAGGCATGCTACATAGAGAGTTGTAGGACAGATAAGTGACTACCACTCTAGAACCAGAAATTCTACCTGTAAAT